GACGGACCGGATTGGACCAAAGCTCAACCCGAAGTCTAGTCTGATTTTTTGGTCAGACTAGGTTTGATAGTCTGTGGTATGGTCTAGTCCAATGATGACCCGAGGGCGGGTTGGACTGGACTTGGTCTACCAGACTGGTGGACTGGTCGAGGCAGTCCAATTGGCCAATTTTCTTCTTTTTTTTGTAATTTTTTTCTTTATGAGAAATAAGATTTCAACATGATAAGTACAATTAAGACAATAAAAACTACCTATAATCATATAAAACTCTTCCTAAAATGTTAAGACTCCATCATAAATACATAAAAATATCTAAAAACATTAAAAACAATCAAAGGCATCATCTAAATTACAAATTATTAAAAAATAAAAAATTCACCTAGACTGGACTGGACCACTTGGTCTGAAACCCAGTCAAGCCCGACCAACTAGTCTGGTCCAGTCTAGTCTAATTTCATTATATAGTTAATTTGGACTGGATTGGACCGGACAAGACCACTTCGGGTTGGACTGAACTGGACTGGACCACCGGGTTTTTGCACACCCCTACTTGTAATTATGCTGGTAGCGGGGGAAAACAAGAAGCATTTTATAATTATAACTATGGGACTCTTTGATTATGATCAGGCCATAGGTATAATTTGAATTACATGGATAATTTTTTATATTTATAAATATTTTTTTGTGAGAATTATAATCAAGTCTTACCGAAGAGAAATTAATTAAAAAGATCCTAATAACAATTTGAGCAGCTTATAATACAAGTTTTAAAATAGAAAATAACATTCTTTAAGACTTTTTTTTAAAAAAAACCTCATTATAATCTTTCTCTCTGTTTTTTTTTATATATAACCATGTTATCCTATACATTAGCCCATAGCTCCCACTTTGTGAAAATAGATTTGTCTGTTTGTCTAACTAAGTTTGACCGTAACTTGAATCTGTTACTTATTTTTTTAAAAATTGTCTGACTTATTTTCAACCTAACCCCATTCATCATTTATATTAGATAAATGAAAGGAATACCAGAAAACATAAATTAAGTGGTAAAAAAACTTAAATTTAGCAGCAATGTAAATTAGGACTTGTGGACAATGTGTCATATATCTACATTTTTTTTGGCCAACCATATGTGTAACACAAAATTCAAAGGTTAATTATGCCAATTGTAAGAGTGATAATTAAATATTTTTAAAAAAGTATCACTTATATATTCAATCAAAAGTTTGTGAATTTTTTTCTTTTAAAATTACAGCTTTTTTATTAACTATTCTCTTGCTTACTAAAACCATCAATTAATGTTGCTTGGCAGTTTGTGATAGAAATTGAAATTATTTATATTGTTCGTAACTTATGATTATGAATAAAGTAGCTTCTAATTATAGAATGATTTTATATTGTGTGTGTCTATATAATAGATATATATATATACACGCACACATATTTTTTTGTTGTTGCCTGTAGACAGACGACACAAACGCACACAATATTTTTTGAGGCCTTGTTGAGATATATGGCAGATTTATTAGTGCAATTTGATTTCAGCGGCGACAACATGGGGCTTATCCTAATCCTTGTCCTTTTTTCCCTCTACAATTGTCGAATATATATATATATATATATATATGTATATATAATATAATATAGAAAATATTAATACCCGTACATAAATCACCAATTATGTACAATAAAGTTCATATAGAGGTTCCAGAAGAACTATTACAGCCAATCAAACAAATGAACAAATCAAAATCTACATCAGATTGACGAATGAGAAAATTATTCATATGTATCAGATTAAAAAAAATAAATGCAGACTCCATTTTTATTAGTTTGAGTTATATAAGCGATGCAACTCCACTTACAATTAAATATGAAAATTTAATTGGTAAACATAAAATTAGTAAATTTGACTTATAAATATGCAAGTTTAATTTGTGCGTGTGTATGCAAGTTTGACCTCATAAATATAAATTTTTGAGATGTTTCTGTGTTTAATTTTTTATCCGAGAAGCATGGGTAACATTTACTCAGGAATGCTCCAAAGCCTCATTGTGCTTTTCCTTTATAATTATTGAAAACAGAGAGAGAGAGAGAGAGAGAGAGTATGGTCCAACTTTAGAACTCTGCTTTGGGTTTTTCATGGTTTAATTTATTATGTTCGCCCAAGAAAAACCATGGTTCATTATGAACAAAACATTATAATTAATATTTTATTGTTGTAACAAAAACAATAATATATAAACTTTAATATTTATGCTGTCAACAGCAAAAAGCCTGCTAAGTCAATTCAATTATTAAATAATTAAAAGGGAGTCTGATTAATAGCCTGAACATTTTATATTCTAATAATATAAATTTGAAGTTTGACAATCTTGCTTATCACTGAGGATATTCAGAGACTTTGGAGCATGCGCGCTTGATTAATTTTATAGGATAAAATAAAATAACAAATAACATCGGAAATATTAATTATTTAAATTCAAATTATTCAGGTGAAGTGTTGAACATATACAGTAGGCCCTGCAAGACCCATTTTAATTTCTTGCTCCCTAACGGTTACATTACATAATAAACAAATATAAAAAGAAATTGGCATTTTTAAGTTGACATGGTTTTCTTAGGAGAGATAAGAGAAGGGAGAATTACAATGAGGTCCCATGTAAGAAAAAAATTACAAAACAAGTCTTAGAAGTTGTTATTCCCTACCCTAGAACCTGTCATTACATGTTGTTCAAGTTGTTATTGGACTTTTAGTAGTTATTTCTTTTATATGGAACTTGATTGTAATTCTCTTATGAGAGAATGTTAAAAATATAGGGAACAAATTATTAGTGGCAAAGTTAAGCTTAAAAATATGATTTAGGAAAAATAATACTCACAGTCAACGGGTAATATATTATGAAAATAAAAAAAAAAGAGCTTAAAGAATTCAAATTGCAGTGAAGAACTATAAAATAAATTGATTGAATTACTATTGGTACTCTTTTCTTTAAAGTAGACAAAAATATAAAACATTATCAAAATGTCAAGATTTAACGGAATTTGAATTATAACTTCGAAAAACATAAATAATACTAGTAACAACTTATTTTTATTATCTATGAACAATTTTTTTTTTATTTTGAATATTTTCAACTATTAACTAAGTTTGGTCCTGTGTGTGACGGCAAATTCAAGGTCAGTCACCGGGCTTCTTCAATCAAAACGTCACATTTTTTTAAAATTAAAAAAAGAGATCTGATAAAATTTTATTATTCTGGCTTATGAAAAAAAATTAACTTAGTTATATGAACTGTAAGTGAAAAAATTGCGGATTCCGTTTATAATTTTAGACTATTAATACTTGTCACCTTAAATTAAAAAAAAAAAAATCTTTATCACGGGGAAAACATTTAGTCAGAGTTAATATTTCATTGCTTGCACGAAAGAATAAAGAAAAGTTAACAACTCATGCTGTCAACATGCGAAAAGCCTGCTCAAGTCATTTCAATAATTAAGTAATTAAAATGTGTTAATTAATTAGTATGAGAACATTTTGTTTGACTTATAAAATAAACATTTGAGGCTTGATTATTATTATTATTGGCCAAGAAATTTGACTGTTATTATGCTTGCATGATTGAGGGCATTCTGACATAGGAGCGAGAGATTGATTAATTTTATAGGATAAAAGAAGATTACAGATAAGACTGGACCTATTATATATTCAAGTCAATTACATGAACCTATATATATATAAATAATATTAGTTAAGATAATTAATAAACTACAATATAATTGAAAAGAAACGGCATTTTGACATTTTTTATGGAGAGATAAAATATTGCTAAAATTATAGTATTCCTCATGTCCTAAATATAAGATCTATTTAATGAAATTTATATTTAGCACCGAAGGAGAATTAAAATTCTAGCCTGAAGTGTCGGGGAGTGAGAGTGAGAATGCCAATCATCAGCATTGCCAAATCATAATCCTTTATATATAATTATGTATAGATTAGATTTTTTTTGGATTAATTATGCATGGATTAGAGAGTTTATCAAAAAAATGCATAGATTAGATACTCCACTATATAATTGCAATGTTTAAGTAATGAGATATTTTTAATAGGTTGACATAATAGTTTTCGAGGTGGAAGGGGCCTCGCAGGATCCATCTTGTCGGCTGCAAGGGATGGGCTTCTTATGTCTGATATCGAAGGAGTCGATCGAGCTGCTTTGGGGTCCCAGTCTGCCATAGATGCTTGCAAATGTCAACGGTTGTCAGCCATCCGTCATGCTTGTACTTTCAGGCCAAAAATAAAAAATAAAAAATCCATCATGATATTGATATATTTGGGTGCATATGTATGTTTAAATTGTATTATGCGGGGGCAAAAAAAAAAAAGGATGTTCTTCATGTGCTTCGTGACTGTATGTGGGTTCTTTGAAAAAGTAATGATATTTTACACGTATATATTAGTAAACTACAAAAATATGCTTTGCATATATTACCTTCAGTCCTAATTATAAAACCTAGTTAACTAATTTGGAGAAATTAAGAAATTTAGTTAAATTAGTTATTTGTAATGAATAGGTGTTGTTTTTCCTAAAATATCCTCGCTAATCAAATTTGTTATCTAGAATTACCATTGTTAGAAGAATTACTTTGAGAAAAAATATATAAATATGAAAGACAAAGTAAATTAGGGTCTTCTATTTATGACTAAAATAAAAGTCAAACAAGATCTTATATTAAGAACAAGAGGTAGTATCATGTTGTCTTTTCTTTTTTCTTTTTTTTTTAATTTTTCATCTTCCCTCTAATTTCATCAAGAGATCCATGAGAGTCTTCAAGAAAACCAAATCATAATTCTGAATGAATAGTGTGGAGCAGAAGCACTCCAAATCCCTCAAAATTTATGCAATTGGCTTCTTTCCATACAAGAACTGAGAGAGGAATCAACGAAGTTTAGATTTAGTAAAATAGGCTAATTTTTCATTACATTAATATCTGACAATATTTTAAATAAGATTGCTTCTAATAACAGAATATCTCAATGAATGGGAACATATTTTACTCCAAACTGCCTTGTATTTTAACCTATAATCCTTTATGCCTTTTATTATTTCATTGTCCAATTTGACACTAATAATTACCCGTGTCAATGCATCATACGTCATAATCTCCGCGATCACAATGCTAACACGTTTCTTCCAATCTAACCATTGGACCTGTGATCTCCCAAACAGAACTCGGTGCCAGTAAACCCAAAAGTTTAGAAAAATTAAGATGCTGTACTTCTTTAAAATTATATATATATATATATTTAATTATCATTCTGAACCAATAATTTGAAAGCCACCCCAAGCATTTCATCACATATGTCCGCCTATAATATATGTTACAGTAAAACCGATCGATCATAATGGATTTGGATTCTCGCCTTATTTCTGCTAAGCCATCATCTCTGCCATACGCAATGCCAGCTGATAGATCAGACTGTGTTTTTGATGTTATTTCCTTCAAATCAATCCCAAGTACCATTCCAAAAGTTTGATACTGAATTTACATTCTCACACTGGAACTGTTCTGTTAGTAGAAGACGACTCTGCTCCATGTTCATCATTTTCTTCTTCATTTTCTCTGCTCAATTCCTCCAACGATTTCCCCTTTGATTCTGGAACCAAGAAAGTGAACAACATCCCAACAAAGTTAATCACGGCGAGCATGATCAGAGCATTCTTCATCCCAATCCCAGGTGGGTAACCTGCGTCTGTCTTCTTCGGATCCTTACTCTGTGCAGCATACAAGAACCCGAAAGCGCCGACGATGGCTCCGGCCTTCCCAGACGCCGACGACAACCCGTGGCAAGTCGACCGCAACCTAGCCGGGAAGATCTCCGCCGGAATGACGAAAGTGGTGGCGTTTGGACCGAAGTTGGCGAAGAAGAAGGTCAGTGCGTACATCACAAGGAACCCGATTCTGTTTTCCTTCTTGGTCCAGTGATCGTAAGGGATTGCCAGAGCCAACATGAAGACGGTCATGAAGAAGAAACCCATCAGCTGGATGAAGAATCGTCCCAATATGTCTATAAACGCCACCGTGAACCAGTATCCCGGCACGGTGCCGCAAAGAGCGATCAGTACTTGTGCTCTGGCCACCTTAAAAACTTCTTGAATCGCGCTCATTTCTCCGGCTGAAGGAAGCCATCCCACCGCCGAATAAATATCTTTCTGGAAAAGATTCGAACTGTAATATGCAATGTCCAGTAAGAACCAGGTGGTACATGTTCCGAGCAAGTGAAGTCCATGTCTTCGAGCGAATTCCTTACTGAACAAACCGAAGCTGGTTCTGTCTCTTTTGTTTGGTTTTTCTTCTTTATTTGGCTGTTCGGCTTCGAGTTCGACTTCGAGGACCTTGGCCATGTCGAGAGCTGCTTGTTTTTCGTTCTTGGCGACCAGAGCTGTGTACCTTGCCGTCTCAGGCATCTTCGCTCGCGAGTAGAAGGTCATTGCGGCGGGCACCGCTCCAAACATGAGGATTATCCGCCAAACGTAGTCGGCTTCAGGTGGAAGAGAAGCTGCCGGGTTTACGTTGTACGGCGGAGCCTTGTACGCGTGGTCGAACGCAGCCGAGACGATCAGAGAAACTATCCCGCCGGCCAATATTCCAAATCCTGATTCAAAGTCATGGGTAAGGGAAAAGAATCTCTTGACTGAACATCAATCGTTTTTATCTGTGTAATATGAGTCAGTAATAATCAGAGTTCAATTTGTTTTGCACAACAACCATAATCGGTCAACTGAAATACGATGATTTAGATGTAATAATAATAAAACTTCAACATAGTTGAAATCGAATCAATACAATCAAATAAAAAAAGTGCCCATCATTTACATGCCAAAAGAGACCAGTTTAAGTGTGAATGATCACTGGTAAAAGCAAAATTTTGAACAGAGTGAGAAATTATTAACTTTAACAAACCTTGCATGGCGAAGACGGCGGCGATGAACGCTCCACGAGTCTTCTTGTTGGCGTATTCCGACATGATGGTGGCGGAGAGAGGGTAGTCGCCGCCGATTCCGAAACCGAGCCAGAATCGGAAGAAACAGAGAGTGGTGACGACACCTTTTGCAGTGTGACCAAAAGAGAGACCAGAAGCAAGAGCAGAGATCACCATAAGAGCAAGAGTCATCCCATACACTTTCTTCCTCCCCAGCTTATCACCGAGCCACCCAAAGAAAAGCTGACCGGCCAACGTCCCACAGAGAGCCACGCCGTTGACGGCAGCTGACACGTTCGGCGGCAAGCTTCCGGGCTTCGGCGACCCTTCTTTGGTGTAGTATATCCTCCCCAGCAACTTGGTAACGTTGGGGATACTGAAAAGATCGTATGCGTCGGTGAAGAAGCCCATGCCGGCGACGACGATGGCCGTGAAGTGATACCATTGTGTCTTGGCGACATCGAGAGCATTAAGCACGTTCTGATCATGCGCCATAGCCACAACGATTTATTATAAGGTTTCTTTGAAGAATTCAACAATCCTGTGACAACACAAGAACGATAGATCGACCAGCTTTGTTTCAATCTTGAACTTATATGCGGAGATATACAGACAGAGACTTCTGTCAGGCGGGTTTGAATTCGGGCATATGTTTCATGCGTGTGCAGATGGAACACTTCCGACGATGGAAGAATTTTCAATAAACCGCGTTGATGGTGAATTAATATCAGCCAGACTTTAAAAAACTCTGAAATTTCACCAAAATTTTTTACGTGAGAAGATAAAAATACCCTTCGTAAATTACCGAATTTATGTTACTAATAGTCAAATTCTTATTAGAAACTGTTGAATTTTTGTTGTAAGTAACTAAATTTGAGTTGTAAATCCTTATAAATTTTACAGGTTTTTAACAAGAATTTAGCAATTTAATGATCTGCAATTCAAATAAAATAAAGATATTTTTGTTTGCTCGCACAAAAATTGGTTAGCAGGTACAGTAAAATTTCAGAAAATTTTAAAAATGAATTTAATAATATTAGATTAGATGGATGTGTCTCTGATTCGAAACGACACGTGGGAATCATCAGAGTTCTTTGTTATGAATAAAAACATATGAAAAATAAATATAATAATATAAAGTATAAACATACTTCTATGTCAAAATTCTTAGCAGCTTCATGACTATATGTATGTACTATCCCGCGGCTCATAAGAGCTAGTCGACTAATTTGAAGAAATTAAGGAAAGAAGTTAAGTTAGTTATTTGTAATAAATATGTGTTGTCTTTCTTAAAATATCATTGCTAATCAAGTATATTGGCTAGAACTACCATTGTTAGAGGAACTAATTTGGAAAAAAATACATAAATATGACAGACAAAATGGATTAAGGTCTTATATTTAGGATCAAAATAAAAGTCAAACAAGATCTTATATTAAAGACAGTAGGTAGTATCTTCTAGAAGAATATTTTAATCATATATATAACTTTTAAGAATTACAAATTATACTAATGAGAATAATACGTCATCCCGTCTTAAAGATAATAACTAGTTAAAATATTTACTTTAATTTTTATGTAAGATTTTAATTCATTTTGTTTTTTAAAATATAATTTTTTAAAATTAGCCTTATTAATTAGATATATTAAAGAAGTTTTTATTTAGAGATAATTTCAATACAAATAATTAAAAAAAAGGATATTTTAAATAATCAACATATATTTTAACAAATACCTAACTAGATACGGAAACCGTGTTGGGACCAAGCACAAGAACTAGCTAGCCTTGGGTGGCTTGTGGATGAAGCTAAGGGGAATCCGTGAATTTGTGTGCTTTAGGATTAGAAAGCCAAGCTACTTGCTCATCTTTTGAGTAGTAACTATCATAACGTATGAGTGTGTGTGTGTGGGTCTATATATATATATATATATATATATATATATATATATATATATATATATTTATATATATATAACTTCACACGGCAGAATCAGATTCTAAATATTATGTATCACTCGGTAAGAAGCTCTCTCTAATGCCACATAATTTACCTCACTTTTAAATAATGCGGATATTCTCTCATAGAAAATACTTTTACTATATACTGCCAAACTGCATGTATGTTATTATTTTATATTACTTTCGGTCCTAAATATAAGATTATGTCTTATTTTTGAAATCCGAGGTAGTATTATTACTTTTGACAAGGACAATATTTTCTTTAAGTTTCTAATTATGGGAGAAGGGATCAAACGCAGATGATTGGTTTTTTGGAGGTTACATTAGACAATAATTAAATTTATTAAATCTCACGTATGCGATTCATACACACACTACTTTCGGCTCTGATTATAAGACCTCATTTGTAAACTACAAATGAGATCTTATAGTTAAGACCGGAGGTAGTATATGAATATATATAAAGTTCATACATCTCCGTGTAAAAGTGAATGTGAAAAAGCAATGAAATTAAACTAACATTCTACTTTGGCATTCATGGAATATTAATTATATTATTGTCAAAGTAAAAAATAACACAAACTTTCAAGAGTGAATAGAATTGTCAAATGTTAAAGTTGATTAGACCAAATGGATTTCCAAGAGTTTGTTTCATAAAAGATCAGAGTTTGCACATAGACTTTTGTTTAAATGGAGCTCTCATAGCTGTAAGAATTTGTTAAAATCACATTGACATCACTGTTTTGGTTGAGACCCAATTAATTTACAATCCACATATATAGCTTTTTTTTTTTCAATTTATAATTAATCCTTCATTTTCTTAATTTAATCTCTCAGATAACGTTTTTATAATTTTACCCCTTACAATTAAAATTAATTATTTCCTATATATCAGTTTACTGTAAATGTTATTTATAAAGGAAAGGCATTCTTCTTTTTGCTGGGACTATGAATTCAAAGTGATCGACTAATTAATAATATTGTTTGCTCATTCTAATTGTATACGCTTGACATTGCATGTATATGCTAAGATTTGAAATATTAATGTTCATAACGTGGAATTATTTTGAATTATAATGTTAATAATATTATATTTTGGGAAGTTGGAAGATTGGACAATTATTTCGCTATGTTTCTTCTTCAAAATTTAAAAAAACAGAAATAATTAATTTTTTGCCAACAGGTCAGGGGTCATAAATCAACTTGATTAATTATCGACGCCGCAATAATAATCATTATATTAAATATTTGTTGAAAGCTTCCTTAAACATAATGATATCTCCATTAGTTAATTTTCTGGAAAACCCTTCAGTATTTTGCCCAGCCCTTCCTATATATCATCTAAAATAGTGGTGAAAGACTGAAAGCTATTTCAAAATGCTTGGGAGAAGCATGCTTGATTAATTGTTACTAAAAATTTAAACCGCAAATCTCCACCAGACAACGGTTTTTATATTTTGGAGCCATTAATTTCTCATCTGAAAATATTAATAAATATTATTCTTAAATTACAGACAGCGGCAGATTCTGTTATAATAATTTCACAATTTAATCAACGGCAGGAGGTTATGTGTATTTGCCAACGGGCATTGAAATAAAAGATTAGGCTGCTGAGTTTTAAAAATTAAAGAAATTCTTTACAAATAATTCAAGGTTTAAGGGGGCTGTTTAGTAATTTAACCTCCTCTTACATCAATACACACACAATTTTGTTGCTTTAATTATATATATAGAGCAAGAGTTACAATCTAATAATACCTCTGCCCCTTGATATGAAACGTAATTAACTAATAATTTGATAAAATTAAGGAAACTAAAAAAAATCACTCAATTATAACATGTTACATGATTTCTCTAAACTATTTGTGCGTACGTTAGATTATATATCAGCTTATTAGTCGAACAAATTAGTTTAGAAACCAACAATAAATATAATATTTTAAAGCAATTTATGTAACTTCTTTAATCTCTCAAAAGTAATCAACTAAGTTTTATATTAAAGATCGAAAGTAGTATATATTCAGAGTGATATTTATACATTATTAACCAAAGGAAATCGTCGTCATTATCAAATTGAAGTTCCGTCCACGTTAGGAGATTGATCACCTAAATCCAAAGAAATTTGCATGTTTCTCCTATCAAGGAAAGATTAATTTCGTATTATATATTATATCATTTTTATTGTTAAATCATAGCAATTAAAAAAATCAATGACTTATCAACTTAATTGGCCCATTTTAATATGTTATCGTGCTGTCAAGTGTCAAGAGTGGACAGCTTGCTTAAGTTAATTTTAACAATTAAGCAAATAATTAAATTAATATTTTAACATATCAGCACAAAGCTTTTAATTCATAAATTAAAATTTGAGGTTTGACTATCATGCTTCTCTTGATTGGGAGTATTCTGTTTAGTTGCATACATTTAAACGCCACAGTAGATAAATAATACTCCCCCGGTCCTAAATACTAGTGTGTATAAGGGTCTTATATTTAGGATCGAAGGAGTAGAAGCTACCGAAAATAAATTTAAGGGCTAATTTGAATAATATTTTTCTGATATGTTATTGTTTAATTAATACATGAGAGTAATCGTTTTATATAAATATGGATAAAGATTTCTATATAAACTCTCTCCACAAATCAAAACAGCGTGGCTGCTAGGTTCTTAAATTCTTGGATAGGAAAAATTTTCTTATGTGTGTGCATGTAATGATAAAATATTCTCATATTACATATATAAAATAATAACAATATTCTAAATTCAACTTCTGTAATTTCGGATAGCTGGCTAGAATAATCCTTAAAATTGTGAGAGAGGGGGAGGGACAAAGTTTATAGAGGTTACGGAAAATTTGATTCTTACCAATTGGTTGGGAGATGACCCCTTGATTGAAAACTTTAGGAACCAAATCAACCGGTTTACATTTTTGGGAATCCACAAAAAATTTCTGATTTTTAATAGAATTGCTCATAAAAAAGATGTTATTTATCCAAGTATCGGATCTTCCATATGGGTATGCGCAATTGTGAAACAGGAAATTAAAAACTGTACTACTCCTCCAGTTCTTAATATATATAGTAACTAATTATTGAATTGGTTTTAGTCCTAAATATAAGACCCATTTCTTATATTTATGAATTTTCTCTAAATTATCCCTATGGATACTCCCTCAGCCATAATCAATTGCAAGAGGGAGATGGGATATTAAGAAAGATGATTATGGTGTTTTAGGAAAAACGTGTCACATTTCTTATAATTAACTAATTTACCTAACTTTTTTAATTTAATTAAATTAGTTAAATAGGTTTTATATTAAAAACCGGAGAAGTATTAGATTTAATTAATTCGGACTCTTCAAGCATCAACAGCAAATTTTGAGGGTGCTTTTAATTTTTAAATTATAGTAAATATTTGTAAATTTTTGGGGGCCAAAATATATACCAGTTTAGTGATATATCTAAGTTATTTGTAAGAAAAATGTTTAATCCTAAAAATAAGTCATTTATAGGGTAGTGAATGACTTTGATTCAATTTTACTCTGAAGGCAATAAAAGAAATATGTGATAGAACACGTGCAACATATTTTTTTCAATATTCTTTTTTGAATAAAAAATGCAAATTTTTTTATTAATTTAATACTTTTTTTATATATGAGAATCACGTACAAGTGATTTAGATATAAAATTAGCATGGTAATACCATTTCGTGTCGTTTTTTCACAACAGGGAGAGAGCTATGCGAGTTGGAAAGAGACTGGAATGCATAAATAAATGGGTGCAACTAGACTGGGTGAACGCATCCCTTTTTTCTTTTCCTTTTTGTTTTTCATAAGGGTTGAGAAAGAACCTCGTTCTGACGCCATTTTAGAATGTGAATGATTAAAAGTTGAGAGGAAAAAGATTCTTGGAATATTATTAATCATTGAATAAGAAGAATACAAATCAGCGTTTATATAGGCAAACCACAAGCTAATAAATTAACCCTAAAATCATATCTAACACAGAGACATTGTTGACGATGAAATAGGACAACTTGTCGGAGCTAAAGCTGTACCACAAGTGCAACATCACGTTGCCCTGCACTTCGTTGAGTGACTGACGAGGAGATGAAACTTCTTATTGCGCTTTGGTCATATTTTACCCCAACCGCAAGGGAACAGTGCATAACATTATACGGAAGTCCTTAATATAAGACCCTGTTTGACTTTTATTTTGGTCCTAAATATAAGATTCCAATCCACTTTGTCTCTCATATTTATACTTTTTTTTTTCCAAAGTAGCCTTTCTAACAATGATAGTTCTAGTCAATACACTTGATTAGCAAGGATATTTTAGGAAAGACAACACCTATTTAGGACAAATAACTAACTCAACTTACTTCCTTAATCTCCTCAAATTAGTCAACTGGCTCTTATAATTAGGACCGAAGGTAGTATCTAACATGGTGGTCAGCCTCAATTTTGCAGAGAGGCCGAGGAATTGCAGAGATAAAGTGGGATAATCTTAAGAAATGTTATTACAGGAGGATGGCCCAAGGCAACCATGCACCAGCGCCTCGTTTTTGGCTGTTCCATGATGCAAACTGACGTAAGTGGTGTTAATAGGATAATCTGTGGTGCAAACTGAAATTGAATACAGGTCGCTGACTCTGCTTAGTTACACTTTTAATAGACATTAGGCTTCTAAATCTCTCTCTAATGTTGGACCAACCACTGCTGGTAAAGCATTTCTTGTTGGCACAATCTCTCGGCTAAAGAAAACTTAGATATCTTGGTGAGGAGGTGATTTTTCTTGTCACTGCATCCACTTACAATACGAATGGTATATGGTTTAATTGCTTTTATTTCCTCTTCTAACTATGTTAGAGATTTGGAAAGTAACTTGATGTGGATCTATATGTTGCTTGGAATTCAAGGTGAGTTAAAAGGACGTGCACCATGTTAGAATTCAAAAAGGAGCGGCCAAAAACTAGGCGCTGGACCATGGTTGTCCCGGGCCGTCCTCTTGTGATAAAATTTCTTGAGGTTGTCCCACTTATCGTTGCATGGAATTCAAGTGAGTGGAACATATAAACTGATAGGTGCGACTAGATTGGGGTGAGCACGTCCCTTTTTTTTTTTTTTTTTTCCTTTTTCAATTCTCAGAGGCTGTGGAAAAATTTGGCTCTGATATTATATTAGAATTTGAAGGATTAAAAGTTGAGAAAGAGCCTAAAAATAATATTAATCATTGAATAAGAAAATACAAATAATCCTTTATATAGGCAAACCACAAGCAAATAGATTAACCCTAAAATCTTATTTCATACAATATAATTTTAATATCTCAGATTTATTCTTCTAAGATATGATAATATAATATTCAGATATAATCATGAATGATATCCTAATATTAATAAAACAAAATAAATGACTAATGAAACATGTTTAATTAATCAATTAAGTAATTATAGCATATTTCCACATATATTTTGTTTGGGACCTCCTAGTAATTCTTCCTACATTGGAGGCACTTGTTTTTCTTGTGAAAGACGGCGAAGAAGTGATGTCTAGAATGACGCAAACTAGAGCATGTCGAGGACATGAAGTGCTGCTGGCCGTTGGATTTTCAAGATTACCCTAGACGGGTCCAACATGAAGTCAAATCTAATCTTGTCCCGCTTCAGCAATAAGCTCAATCCCAATTCTATATTCCCACATTCGACGTGCCAGTTGAATATTTTTCACTTGTCTTATACCAGCTGGACCACCATATTCATATTCCTTAACTTTCCAAAAGGTTACATAACATCCAAATTTTTTTCTTATACCACATAGCACCTAATATCATAAACTGATTTTTTTCATATTCAATATCTTTAAATATTTTTTTAGTTAGCGTCTAGAATCATTAAATAATTTGTTTTTAAAGTATTTTTTTTCAAAATACTCAGTATCAAAAGTTTAAGCTACTCGTTGTTACTAAGAATTAGTGACTGAAGTATCTCCATAAAATATTTTCTATCAAAATACTTGGATCCCACTTATTCTTATGATTATTGAAAGAAAAAAAAAAGTAACATGCTAAAATGCTGTATTAAAAATTACAGTTTCAACATTCCACTTATAATTCCGTGCTGTTAATATCTGCCTTTTTAATTGAGAAAATCAAAGTAAGAATAAAATTCAAAACTTCCCTAAGAAAAATTATTTGGAAAGCCAAGTGTATGGTCTCCACATAGGTCAGATTTGGCTGGGTTTCAAACGGGCTCGCTACTCAGCTTGAAATGCAGATTGGAGGCTGGGGCCATCATTTTCGACCTATGGCCCGGCCTTTTGGGATGGTCCGAAGCAGATCTGGCCCGAATCTCGAAATGAACCGGCCCATGAGAATAGAATCTCGTGTGGCCTACCACCTTAGGTCAAAACCGAAGCCGATGTTCATAAATAGGTTCTTGGGCGGAGCAGCGACGCCGGATTGAGTATGTTAACCCAAACTGGGCTTTTGAGGCTCCTACATAGTCTGTCATACACCATATGACCATACTACCATAGAACTGTTTATCACTTGCAGGCTTCCACTGTTTAAAAGAGCTAGTTAAGCACGTTCCAAGTTCATGAATTTGATCTCTTCTCCAAATTCTAAACCAAAAAGAAAGAAACCATACTCCCAAAATCAATTACTATTTACTGTAAATCTACAAGAAGGTAAGAAGCTCATGCTGCAATAATTACTTTCCTCATCTTTCTATAATTCCTTCCCTTTTCTCTTTCTCTGTCAATGCGCAGTATAATTACAGACAACCTTAACCATGTTACAAAGAAGACCATCTAGTGAGGACTAGGCCAAAGACCAATGTTCATGATGTAAGTGACAGAATATCCTGTTAGAAACGGGGGACAATATTGCACTAAGAATTGGTTTCATTGGAAAAGATTCCTAAACCCATTGAAAATTTGTCATTGGAAAAGATTCCTAAACCCATTGAAAATTTGTAGGGCTCTTAATCCACCGGTCCTCATATTCCTCAGTCTGCTCCGCAGTATCTGCATATGCCAATAAAAGCGATCAGCAATCAGAAAGAGTAGCTAACATCTATTCCATTATGGACGCAGACCATGCCACTCATGAGGAAGCAAGTTCAAAACAAGGGATCACGTTCGTTCAGGAGCTCATTGTTGCTAGTCGTCACTCTCTACTTCTTCTCTAAATTATGAAGCTTCTAAACGCTAACTAGAAAGAAAGGTCTATATAATTTTTTCCCCTGCATTTTCATTGACAGCACTTTAGGCAGTCATCTCTGTGACAGTAAAGAGTTCAGATTGATGAAATTACGGTATTAAAATGAGTGCTGAAAGAAGGACATGTGGATGTACTGTGGCATTTTTAATCTTTCCTAGTGGGGTGGGGGAAGTATCCGACGAAATTAGCATAACGTGCCTTGGCTACTTACATATTGAGCGCGAAATAGTACTCTTTGCTCGCTATTGCACAAGTCCACAGCTAGTTGCTTCAAAAAGAGTCGTCGGTTGAGTTGTTTTGGAGAAGTCACGTCCAAATCAAGTGATCCACTTTCCTGTGGGAATCATATAAGCACTTGATGAGATATTTTGATAAGCAGAGAAGGCCAAGCTTAACGTAGACATTGATAAAATGTGGTCTTTCAAAGTTACATATACAGTAAGAAAACTAAAATAGAAGTTCCTCATATATGGTTTCCTTGCCTGTAAAAACTTCTTGTACTTTGATATGCTGGATTCACAGCTGTCTAGAATAAATTGCAATGCTTGCTCTTCTATTTCAGGATATCTCAAATCCTTCTTTACAGTTGTCTTATTCGATGCTGCAGCAGCCATCTGTTAAAAAGAGTCACCCACTACGTTAAACGACAGTTACAGATGCGTTCAGAAATTTAGCAAGTGTCAGACCTCTTCAAATTGGCCTCTCATGCTTGGCGGGCCCACAGCCAAATAGGCGTATGCCATTAGCTCCAATGGCCAACCAGTAACTTTTACAGGGAAGCACTGTGATCTGTTAAAATTGAACACAATTAGCTAGTAACAAGTTCAGTCAAAAGTATAAGCATTTCAAAGTAGAACACTCTAGAAATTAAAAGATTCCCTTATCTACTGAAATGAAAGCTGAAATAAAATTTTTGTGCATTTTTACACTGTAGAACAAAAGATGTTTTGGAGATGTCTCTTGAAGTATGTGGCAAAACCATCATTTAAGCTAAAATAAAGGTGGTGCGTGGGTGCCCTTTCAAGTGCTCATGTATACAGTGAAAAAGTTTTAATCAAGACAGCATACAAAAGAAATTTCAATGTTCAAGGAGTACTCATGAAATATGAAATTGGGGACTCACGCTGCCAGTCCATTTTTCTTCAAAAGTTGTAACTTCTCCTCGTAGCAGTTATCAGATTTCCTGAGTGACAATAACAACTCAGCCGAATCACTAGGATTAGTGCCTTCCTTTGGAACGAATCCGTAAGAGAGCAAAAGCTCTCCGTTAGATTTCTTGCCATACGATATAAACACCTGGGTCGAGTAATGCAGCAATAAATCACAAGATCTGTATATTTAAGAGCTGAGATTCATGGTGAAGAATACCATCTATGAAACCAAGCTTCAGTTTACTATGACCTGATTTTTCTAAGGAAGAATTAAAATCTTCAAGAGACCCAATCTATTTAACAATAATTATAACATAATGCATTTCGGCAAAGCCCTGGGAGTAATTTAGAACTTATCTACTTCCAGTGAATGAATCTTATCAAGGATCTTGATTCAAACCTAATATAAAAAAGGTCGATCTGTCAATTTATATTTACCTGCTCACCTGGTTGGTAGGGACGATCTGTGGTAAAGACAACTCCCTTTGATGATTTATCATAATCCAAAAACGTTTCCACCTAAACCAGAGAAAATGCGGCTATTCAGTGTTAACCATGCAGAGGCAAATATTATTAGGCATCATCTTTGAAACAGACCACATCATACATCACAGCTATGGTTCAGCATATCTGCCCAGGGAACCAAGGCAAACTTGTCATCCATTGAGGGCAGTCGGACCTGCAGGGTACCAAGAGAATGAATTTACGTTCTTACAAATAATAATATGTCCTCACATGCAAAACGGAAAAAATAAAGTCTCAGCAGATTATATGACTGGTTAAATTATAGACACCTGCCAATTACGTATGGACCAGATTTTGCGAACATAGTCATTATTCTCCCCTTTAAAACTACAGTTTCGAGAAGTAACATATTTGGTCCTGTCATGAATTCAGGATTTATTAAAGGAGTGTTTGATAACTCTTATGAGATAACCATGGTTTTGGGTTCATAATTGATTTTGACATGTAAAAGGGTGTTTGGATAGTTTCGAGAAAATCATGATTTTGGCTCTTATAATTGATTATAATACTCATCCAAATAAGTTCTGGAATCAAACTCTCTTTCAAAACTAGCTAACCTAGGACTTCATATTACACAAGCTTGTCAGTTGAAACAATATAGACAAGATGAAAAACCTTTCATTTAGTTTTCAGCCTTTACATTTGCAAAAGAGGAAGAATACAATTTATGTTACTACAGCTACATCAACTCACCAATCGAGAGAAAAGAATACCAAATGACCACTTGAAGGTCTCAATGTTGAACACCTGTGAGTTGGACAAATATAAAATAAGCAATATCTCATAAAAATTAATCATTTGGACTAACATAATAGTTTCCTACAATAACGCATTCCTGAAAATGGTGAACATTTCAGGTCAACATTATACTAACTAGCAAGGATCAGCACAATCAAGATGGAAATTATCTCAACACTATGTAACGAATAGAACAACCTTTGGAAATCACAAAAGTCACTGTTCCACACAACCAAAATCCTAACAGAGCCCTCATGCTTGTCAGTTCACATTATTTTCCCCAAAAAAGTAAGAGTTTATCATGGTCTAAGAATCCTAACCAGGTCCAACGACACATAATTACCTCTTCAGGGAATAAACTAGGATGCTTGGAAAATATTCTGAGCCTCAAATCGTTGTATCTGTAGAAGGAGAAGTATATAATTTAGTAGCAAGACACAGAATGAATTACCCAAGATAAAGTATACATTAAGAATGGGAAAGATGAATAAAAAGGGGAAAAAAGTTTAGTTGAAGAATGCAAGGCACAGCGACACGTACGTTCCAATAACATTATTAATCCTTTCAATTGCTCTCTCCCTAATCTGTGAAGCTTCCAAATAACGATCTAGTTCTGCTTGTGACCTGGAATTGGGATGGAAAATATTAAAAGGGAAGAATTTTAAATATATGAGAAGTTTGAAATTGGGAAAAATGTAAAACTTCACCCCTGGCATCATGTTAAAGTCATCTTTTAAGGAGGGCGATTGAGTACTTCATAATACTAATGGTCATGTGTTTCACTTTCACTCAAAAGCTTAATGTCAGTGGAATTATGGTAAATGCGTCTCCCATATACTCAGGTTTCTGTTCACAGCAAAGAATTTATCCCGTGAAGATTTTTCCCTCATTTTTAGAGTTTGCTTCCTCACTCGTTGATTTTCATTACTCTCGTCATTTCCAGACAAGCTCTGAAAATAATTCAAGGGAAGCATTCTTAGAGAACATAATTTACCAGTAAAGAAGTGAATAGGGTTGCCGTGGTAAGGCTGAAACGTAACTGCTCCATCTTGAAGATTTCATGAGGCTTGCTTCACTGATGAGATAAGTCGCAAGCAGTGGCCAGTCTGGCACCGAATTCCTTTTCAAAATTTCACCAGCTTCAGGGCAGGTCCATTGCTTGTAACCAAACACAAACACAAGCACAAACAGAATCGTAAGCACCAGACGCAGACGCAGACGCACATGCTGAAGCACAATTTAATAAGATTAAGAGAACCATTTCCCCGACCAGTAAACAACATTTTAGAGACTTCAAATAACAAAATGACATATAACGGAAACTGAGCATGATTAAATTTCATGTAGAATGATGTTTAAGTCTCAATTAAAATGGATAATATGTTGAGAAAAGCGGCAACAGAACTCTGGACAAAAAATGATATCACCTTAAATTTAACCAATAAATTATGTAAAAGGGCGGAGAAAAACTCCATGACGTGATACATGAATGGGAAATACTAAACACGTAAATGTGGTTCAGCTTCAGTGAAATACTGAAAGGCAAATCCGAGTAACTACCAATGGAACAACTGTAAGATAAGGCTGCTAAATTATAAAAAACTAACGGTAAAATTTAAAACTACCTACATAAATATTAAATCCCAAAAGAATAATCACATCAATATTAAATAACCAAACAAACCAAAATTCTCAACCCAACGCTTATGTTCCAGTCCACTTCCATCCCTTTTTTTTGTTTAAACGTTTCATCTTTTCATTTCAGACATATGCAGGAAACAAGTGAGGCAAAGGAATGAAAGACTTACAGAATCCGCAGTGATGACTAGTGAAGGAGGCACAAAGAGCAACTTCTCTCCCTTCCTTATATTCTTCAAGGCAACGAGTCCTCTCTCCCCGACATTCACCCTTTCAATGGCCATCTTCTGTGGCGGGAGGCCTGACTCAGACAACCATCTCTGCAGAGCCGATGCGTTTTCCAGGGAGTCAATCTCACAGCCCCATGGGATGGTTTCTTTCGCGGCAGTTTTCGCGGCATCACTTGCAGAAACCAAACACTGAAATTGGGGCTTTCGCGGGAGAGTTAGATGACGCTGAATCACATGAGTTTTGTTGGTCGGGCTGAAACTGGGAATGACAGCGGTGGCGTAAAGGCTTCTTGAAGCTTCAGCCATGGCTGTGAACTGAGAACCTTATCTGCAGAACGAGAACAAGAGACTCACGGCCGTTCGGACCGTTGTATCACGCGCCATGTGTGGCTGGAGACCAGACGGGTAAGGCGGTAAGCAAATGAAATCATGCCGTAATCTCAAAACTTAATTTGAAGTTATTTAATGTGCTTTATTTTATAATACTTAAGTTACTAGTTTCTTCACAGAACTAGTTAATTAATTTAAATAATTAAAAATTAATTAAATTAATTATTTGTAATGAATATATGTTATCTTTCTTAAAATATTTTTACTAATATTAAGCATTAGTTGTAAGAAACAAAAAGTATATTGAGTATTAACTAGAATTATTAATTGATGATGTGCAACTACTACAAGGACATTTTAAAAAAAATAGATAAACATCAGAGACAAAATATATTAGAATCTTATATTTAAGATAAAATTAAATATCAAATTAATTCTTATATTAAAAATAGAAGCCAATATTAAGGTAAAACTCCTTTTTGTTGGCAAACAAACATAACGTAAAACATTTTTTGAGTTTGACAATAAATAAAAACAAAGGTCCCTGTTAAAATTTAAGAAATTTATATGATAGATTCTGTAACTAGTATCAGTACTATTTAAATAAATGAATGATATTACTTTTTTATTTGTGAATCAATTTTTTTTTTTATGAGATAGAATCACCATGAATATATAGAACATTTTTATCAGGGTGGGGGGTCGGAGAATGACACTTCACACCGATTGCTAATCCAAGGTTGTCCAATTGTATGGAGAAAATTGAAAAATTCACTTTCTTCAAATAAGTACATTAATCAAAGTTTATAAAAGAGCATGATAATACATGGGATAATTCCAAGGGGTTATGAAATTGTTGCAGGATTATTGTAATGTTTCGGGACAGAGAGTGAATTATGATAAATCTAGCCTTTTCTTCTCAAAGAACACTCCGGATGAAGTAAGGACTGATATTGTGGAATGTTTGAATATTGCTGAGGTGGACAACCTGGTAAATACCTAGGTTTACCTATCCTTAGGTAAATCTAAAAATGCTGCTTTAGCCTGTGTCTATGAGAAGATGGGTAGGAAAGTGCAAGAATGGAGGAAGAAATGCTTATCCTTTGCTGGCCGTGAAACTATGATTGCTATTCCTATTTACCCAATGTGCTGTTTCAAATTTATGAAAAAATCATATAGTGCTCTAGATAGTTTGGTGTCTAATTTCTTTTGGGGTGATGTGGACGGTACTGGTAGAATCCACTGGACATCCTGGAAAGCCTTAACCAAATCTTAAAAAGAAGGAGGATTGGGTTTTAAAGACTTCATGGGTTTCAACAATGCTTTACTTACCAAAATTACATGGCATATTTTGCATAATCCTGATAGTCTCTAGGTTAAATTACTGAAGAGCATTTATTTTCCCAACTCCTCATTCATGAAAGCAATGAAAGGATCCAAGGCTTCATGGGTCTGGGATAGCATTCTTGCAGGACGTGAATTCTTAAAAGAAAATCTATGTTGGTAGGTTGGTACTGGGCATTATATTGATGTTTGGAAAGACCTTTGGATTCCTAGTATGAAATTTTTTAAAATGCCACTGGATAATGGTCCTTCTATCAATGAAGATATGATGGTTGCTCAGTTGATTCAAGACATACAATGGAATCTTCATGCTATCTCCAATCTAGATTCTCCTATCTAGCACCCCTCGAGATGATTCTTTATTATGGGCCCCTGCTAAGAATGGAATTTATAGTGTCAGGGCTGGTTATAGATTGAGCCATGTTGCTACTGATGGCAGAATTATGGTTACCCGAGCTTCTGTCTCCAGGAAAATAGAGCCAAGTATATGGTCAGCTGTATGGAAACTGAAAGTCATGCCAAAAATCAGAGGCTTTATCTAAAGAATCCTCAATAATGCTTTGGCCTCTAAGGAAGCTTTATTCAAACGGAAATGTGCCACAAACCCACTCTGTCCAGTTTGTAGAGATGATACTAAGACTTTAGAACACCTGTTTCTGCTTTGTCAATGGGTTAAAGTTGCTTGGTTTGGTAGTATTATGGGCCTCAATATCTCCCCTCTAAACATCCAGAATATCTTTTTCTGGCTTGAGTAGTTTCTATTGATGATCGATACTGAGTTAGACTATGGTAAAGCGTATATAAGTACTATGCTGTGGTCTATTTGGAAATTATGGTGTAAATGGATTTTTGAATAGGTTTTCCCAAAACCAGAAGAAGCTATCGAGATGACTAATTGAACTATGCAAGAATACTGGAATGCAAACTCCTTGCTTCCTAAAGCACCTAGCTTTATGGCGCCCAAAGCTTCCTTTAAGTGGAGGAAACCACAAGCTAACTCATTCAAGATAAACTATGATGGTGCTTTTAATAATTCTAATGGAAGAGCTGGTATAGGAATTGTTTGTAGAAACTCTGAGGGGTTATTCATTAAAGGCTGGGCTGAGAAAGTAAGTGTTCAATCGGCATTATAAGCAGAACTCTTAGCTGCTCTAAAGGCTGTCTCTCTAGCAACTCAATGGCAACACTTCCCGGTGATTATTGAAATGGATTGTAAGGATCTTTTCTCTGCTATTACTCAAAGATCTTTGCATCTTTGTCTGTGGCTACTCCAAGGCTTGCTTGCTGAGTTGTTTGCAATGGTGAATGATCGAAGTTCTATTTGCTTTTCTCTCATTTCTCATGAGGGAAATGGTGCTGTCGATTTCTTGGCTGCTATAGCTTCAAAGGAGTTGGGACCTAACGGTCTGATCTTGGTATCTCCACCTCCTCTAGCTGACATCATTTTTCGTGAAGCCACTGTTGCTAATGAATTCAGTTTTGACGAGGATGACAGGGAAGGGATCGATTGATTTGCATTTGACCTGTTAGCTTGTCATTTGGTTTCTTTTCCCTTTATCTTTTGTAGTGAACTATTTCTTCTATCTCGTTTCAGTTAATGAAATTCCTTTGCTGGTAAAAAAAAAAAACAATTCCAAGGGGCCGAAAAGAGAATGGTTGAGGTTTTTTTTTTAATTTTTATTTAAGTTAGAGGGCCAGAAACTAACAGCTTAAGGTTATAAACCGCATCGAATTGTAACCTTTAATTGGGGAGCTTTTATATAATTATTACTCCTTCTAGAGAAGATAATTGCATTTGAGTTAGATATGCAAAAGATTGCGGAATCTGAGTTTGGATGGCACTGAATTATATAGTTTTTTTTTTCTTTTAAGTTGTTGCCCATAGATATTTATGGTTTAAAGGCGGTATATACCAATGATTGGAGTTTTTATAGGAAATTTCATTTACTGAAAAAGCAAAATGTTTCTCCATCCTAAGTGTAAGATCTATTTTGTAGTATTACCTCCAGTTCTAATTATAAGAGCTAGTTGACTAACTTGAGGAGATTAAAAAAAAAAGTTAAGTTAGTTATTTATAATAAGTATGTATTGTTTTTTCTAAAATATCCTTGCTAATCAAGTGTATTAGCTAGAACTATCACTGTTAGAGGGACTATCTTGGAAAAAATGCATAAATATGAGAGACAAAGTGAATTGGGATCTTATATTTAGGATCAAAATAAAAGTCAAATGAGATTTTATATTAAGGACCGGAGGTAATATAATTTAAATTATAAAATGAGTTTTATATTTAGGGTCAGAGGAATATCTTGGATTAACCAATATTGTGTCTAGCATTTTAAACATCAACTCAATAGAGAATTCTTACAGAGTTGGGCTTGTTGATGAAATAATCAAGAGAGTAGAGACAGACGCAATATCTTCAATAATATAATATGAGAACATGTCGATAATTAGAAATTAGGCAAGGATACGTTGACTAGTCAATAGTCAAAAACATGTTGACAGTGACTTGTCAAGGCAAGTAATATACTCGATTAATTTGCCAAGTATAGAAGTTATTTTAATATTGATTGGTTACGAATTTGTTGCATATTTTTAACATATGACAAAATAATTACAAAAGCAATTAAATGAAAATGATTAAAGGGCTATTTAGAATGATTTATAAAATAAGTATGTGAGAGAATTTTATTTCAACTTATATAAAATGTGCCTGTAAATAATTTTAAATATGGTGACAAGCAAGGCCAAAATCTCACATAATGCTTGAAAGCGTGAATGCGAGGGATTTTTTTTTTAATACTTATATTAAGTCTAGACTAAATATTACTATTTCTAGGACACTCAAAATGATGTGGTAGTATTCATTGTTAATATCCAATGAAATACTCATCGGGTTCTAAATATAAGACCTTTATACTACTCCTCCGATCCTTAATATAAGATCCATTTAACTAATTTGATTAGATTAAGAAAGTTAGGTAAATTAGTTAATTATAAAAAATGTGACACATTTTTTCTAAAATACCATAATCATCTTTCTTAATACCCCTCTCTCTCTTCTACTTGACTATAGTTGAGGGAGTATCCATAGGAGTAATTTAGAGAAAATTGACAAATATAAGAAATTGGTCTTATATTTAAGACCAAAACCAACTCAACAATTGGGTCCTATATTAAGGACCGGAGGAGTAATTAATATAAGGGTCTTATATTTAGGATCGGAAGAGTAATGTTTACGGATATGCATATCACCCTAATTGAGTACTTATTCTAAAGATTACAATAAAACTAAATAGGTTTCTAGTAGGTTATATCAGTACAGTTAAATCAACTAATAATTAAATTCTTCTTCGGAAGAATACACAAATCTTAAAAAATAACAATACATCCTGTATTCAATATTCAATGTAAGAGCTACGTAATTAATTTAACTAGAACATGAAAGTTAAATAACTAAATTGATTATAATAAATGTGAATTTCTCTCCTTATAATATTCATGTACAACATTATATTATATATTACTTTCAATCCTTGATATAAGAATTAGTTAGAAATTTTAAATATAAAACCTCAATCTACTTGTCCCCTCAAACTTGTAATTTATTCTCTAAAGTATCTCTATTGTTTACTCATATCAAGGGGCTGACATATAAGGATAGTCATGATTAAAAAAGATATTTTAAGAAAATTAACTTATATTTATTACAAATAACTAACTATTTTTCTTAATCTAATTAAACAGTTCTTATATTAAGGACTAGAGGTAGTATTAGTTTACAAGTTAAGATAAATTAGTTTGAAAAAAAGTTAAAAATGATAACTGTGAAAAAAAAGTGAATTAAGATATTATATTTTAAAGTAAATTCAACTCCCAGTTAACTCATATATTAAGTAACATGGCTACTATTTTAGTGAATAGTGAATGACTAATGATAGATTATTTGACTTTATATCAAATGTTAATATAATCTTTGGTCCTTTAGGTTTATACAGATTTGGATTTTAATCTCTCAAACTTCAAATTATAAGTTTTGGTCCTTATGATTTAAATGGTTTAGATTTTTATTAAAGTATAGAGACCAATATTTCAAATGAAAAAAATTGAGAGATCAAAACCTATGATTTTAAACTTACATGATTAAAATCAAAATGAAAGTAAATTTAAAAAATAAAAAAATATATTAGCCGTTACATTAATGTGACGTTACTAATCAATAAGTAATAAATAAATACTAGTGGCTGGTTTTGATTTGAGATAATATTTTGATTTGATATTTTGATTAGATTTTCTCTAGGGTCAAGATCAAAGAGTGTGAGCATGATCGCATGAATTAACATAGCTATAGTACTTAATATAAGAGCTAATTTAATTTTTATTTTGGTCCTAAATCTAAAAATCTAATCTATTTTGTCTCTCATATTTATCTTTTTTTTTCCAAACTAGTATTGTAATAATGGTAGTTCTAACTAACATACTTGATTAGTGAGGATAATTTAGAAAAGACAATACATATTTATGACAAATAATTAATTTAACTAGTTTTTTTTAATATTTTCAAATTAACTAACTATGTCTTATATTAAATATTGGAGGTAGTCATTTTTATTCCTATTTGATGATAATCCCAATAAATTAAAAGCCATAAAGTGGAATGAGAAGGACACAAGGTGGTCCCTTGAATCTTCATTAAAAAAAACACAAGTGACCGGACCAATGCCCGGTCAAAATTAACTAGACTTGTGATGCTCGGAATATTGTTAATACTTTCGTGGAAATATGCAAACAGGATAGTCTCCTCTACTCTATGGCCTCTCCGCGTTATTTTTTTTTAAAAATTAAAACCTTAAACTTGTCGCATGGATAGATTTTGACTCAGATCGGCTCTATGCATTATTTGATGCTACCTTTGAAATTTGTACACTCTTACAAAATTTAACAAAGTATGTATAACGTGTTTTTTTTTTTTGAAAATATCTTTATTTCCTTCATCCTTAATCGTAATTAAGGGTGATTTTAAAGGGTTATAAAAATCTTTGACGTGTAATGAACTTTTCAAATAAGTTTTTTTTAAAAGGATTTAGAAAAATATGGCTGATAACAATATAGGATCTTTTATGGTTGAAACTTAGTAGCGAAGGATTCTTGGCGTATGCCTCGGAGTCTCATTGACGACCGAAGTCGAGGAGGTAACTTCGAAGCTCACCCAGACACACACGAAAGCGCATTGATATGTTATCTTGAATTTATTGTTATATATTACTTCCAATTTTTAATATAAGATCTTATTTGATTTTAATTTTAATTTTAAATATAATATTCTAATTTATTTTATCTCTCATATTTATGTATAATTTTTTAAGATAGTCTTTATAATAATAGTAGTTCTATCATATACACTTGATTATTAAAGACATTTTAAAAGAGACAATATCTATTTATTGCAAATAACTAATTTAACTTATTTTTTTCATCTCTTCAAATTAGTCAACCAGTTTTTATAATTAGGACCGGAGGTAGTAAAAAATTGTAAGATTTTTAACCACTCCCATCTTATCTCATACTCAATTGGCTATGTGGGTGAATGAATTTTAGTATTGCCGTTGATTAGTAGAAAAATAATGTAGTATTATTTTTTTTATGTATTTAAATCAGCGACTCGGTTCTTTTTTGTTTTCTTGAGCACCAAATGATGACCCCCTCGGACATATGATTCATAAATCTGACCACAAAACAAGGTTAATATCGCTTATGAGTTGTTTATATATTATTTTATATGTAATCCTTGCGTGAGTTTGACTTTAATTTTAACATTTTTTAGGCCAAACTTGAAAATTTCACAGCAGTGTCTAAATTATGCTCCCAAATTCTAAGTGCAAGAGTGAGATAATTAATTTATAGATATTAAAAAAATTGATGAAATTAACCATCAATGAAAAAAAGTTAAATTCTCCCAAGAAATATTCTTTAATCATCCACAATAAATGTGCCAAAAGTCTTGTTGGTTTGCAGTTGTTTGTATTATTTTATATGTAATCCTTGCGTGAGTTTGACTTTAATTTTAACATTTTTTAGGCCAAACTTGAAAATTTCACAGCAGTGTCTAAATTATGCTCCCAAATTCTAAATGCAAGAGTGACATAATTAATTTATAGATATTAAAAAAATTGATGAAATTAACCATATATCAATGAAAAAAAGGTTAAATTTTCCCAAGAAATATTCTTTAATCATCTACAATAAAAGGGCCAAAAGTCTTGTAGGTTTGTAGTTTTATGGGCTAATGGCATTGATGCTCCTTATAAGTAGAAGGTTATGGATTTAATCCCTCTCATAAATTGAGAAATCATATGTTTAATATAAAAATAAACTCTTTAGGAAAAAAAAAGATATTTTTCATAATGCTACAATCATGGGACTTGTCTTAAATTGTAGTCCTTGAGACTAACAAAGAAGCATTCGGTGTTTGACTCTTGTTCTAGGCAACGCATTGATTATCACACTTTTGGACATTGGAAAAAACAGTTTACTCTTTCACATGATTATGGAAAAAAAACAATCATAAACAACAACAATAATGGCGACTTTCATGAATGTTTGTCCAAATAGGAAGAAAGAATTCACACATGGGCAATCATGAACTATACCCAATTACTCTCACAAAACCTCTTTCACATATCAAAGAATAAAAAATTATTGTCCCTCCAATTTTCACAAATAATGTTATTATATTATTATTTAGTAATCTGGTATCCTTTTTCTAGGTAAATACAGTGATGATATTTTTTTTTAATAAATATTCTATACAGTTCTAATTATAAGAATTTTTTTTTTTGCTGGCCGATTCTAAATATAAGAGTTGATGAGAGGGTTATTTTGATTTTAATCTCTAAAATTTATAATTTTCTCCTAAACCCATTCTATTTTGTAATTTCTAATGTAAATGATTAAAAAGAATATTTTATATTTTTTTACAAATAATTATTTTAACTATTTTATTGCATCTTTATCATTGATTTATCATTAAATTTTATATTTTTTAAAGCATTGATGATGGGCTTACCTTCCAAAGAAAGAAAGAAAATTCCAATATTTTAACTCACGTTGCATTTAATTTAAGAAAAAGATTATATTCCTAATACTCCAAGTTTCATTGAATTGCTTTTATTATACTAACTAATGTACAAAAAGTTAGATGGCAAGAAGTTCGATCAATGAGACAAATTGTTATAGCACGGGAACTGTATAACTTGCTATAAATTTTATCTTTTAATGTGAACATTGATCATCTATTACTAACAATTTTCTGGTAATAAATAGGAAATTACTCTACTTTCATTGTTAACAAGTGTTAGTACGCACTTTAACCTTTCCCTTTTGAACTCTTACAATTTAACAAATTTGAAAGAGTAAGGTTGGGATCATATGACGCATTAGAAAAGAAAATGGCCAAAAAAATTAAAAATATCTTTTTTGGAGATTCCAAAATAAGAACCGGCAAGAATGGCCTAAGTTTTTGGTTAGAGCTACTTATCAGAAATATGTTTATGCGAGTTGACGCAAACATTTTCTTATATGAATCGTCATTTTAAACAAGCCCAAAACTATCAAATGAAACCAATATGGCAGGTATGGTAAAATAAATTCGACTTTTATTATTATTTTTTTTGCTAAATATCCTTCTATTAGAGACAATCTTATTTGAGACACTGTCAGGCACTAAATGTGAACACTTCTTCAAACGGGGATTCAAATATTAGTTCGTCACCCTGTGAAAGACTAGTGTCTTTTGTTAAACTCAACCTGTGTTAGTGACTTTTATTAAGCTTTAGTTAAGTAAAAAAAAGTACTTTTGTGTTTATCCTTCTGGCCCAATATCAAATGGGGCTGAAATAAAATTTGTGGGGATTGATTTGCTTCACGACGTTATGGGCAATAGCATGTACTATATTGTAGTAAAAAATGAAAAAAAAAATAATATAAAGGGAAGGAAAGGAAAAGGCAAGGAAAGAAAGGAAAAGGAGGGCAAAAGGAAAAGAAATTTAAAAAGAAAAACATAATGAGAGCAATAGAAATCGAAAAGCCCTACACTGTAAAAACACACTTAATTTTGCTCTCCCTCCTCTATTGTTTCCTCGGTTCCTCCCTCACCCTCCCTTTTCTCCTTCTTCCTCCCCTTTCTACTTCATATAGATCAATTTAAAAGCCATTCGAAATAGATCATGCTTCCTGATTATTTATGAAGTATATGCTTCTTTAGTGTCTTCTGTCACCAATTACTGACCCCTCTCATCTATTCCTCTCCCTCTCGCTCTTTTCCTTTTTGCCCATTATTTTTTGCTTTGCAAGTTTGTGGCTTTTTGGGTTGTATTGTGAAGATGAGCGGTGGTGGGATTAGGGCTTCGATTCCGAACAATACGAGGAAGCTGATCCAGAACATCAAGGAGATCACAGGTAATCATAGTGAAGAAGAGATTTATGCAATGCTTACGGAATGTTCTATGGATCCCGATGAGACCACCCAGAAGCTTCTCCTTCAGGGTATGATTTATTTCATTTACTTTTCTTGCTCTCCAGTTCCACCGCTTTGCTGAGTGGATTCGATCTTGATCTTAATTTTTGTTTTGTTTTGATCCTTCGTCTAAGCTGTGCATTTTATTACCTGGGTTTGTTTGCTCCGGGAGAAATTTTTGTTGGGATTTCATTTTAAATTGATTTTTTTTTGGCACTGTGGAGTAGGACGTTGTATGATTGAGTTTGCTATGATGACCTTTTACTGTTGAGAAGATTTTGGTTAGAATAAGTTATAATTTGTGGTACACTGGCACCTCCGGTTTTTTGAGAAAGCTCGTGTAGTGTTGCCTGTAGAAAGCTTTCCGCTTTCATACTTAAATGCGTTTGTTGCGTCGTTTATTATTCCGAGTTATAGACTTCGGCCATCAGTACCACTTTTTTCTGTAGTAATAATTTGGGATTGGGATGCTTTTGTCTTTTAAAATTCCATGGACAATTTTTCGCTTCTGCCCATGTTAAATTTTGCTTCATGCTCTTTTGATTCCTATTAAGTTTGGAGTGTTAATCATTTGGGCAAAGCACTGGCATGGGGTACTTGATAATGGTTGCTTTTTCTTACTAAAGTTCTGGCAGGTACCACTAAAATTGGGTCTTTATCTAGAGGATATTCCATGTTTTGATAATAGTATATTTAGGGACGAATGCATTCTAAATTTTAATCAAGGGTTACTAGTTTGATACAGTACAATGGTGATGGAATTATGGTATGCTTCACTTCCGCCGATCCTTGAGGTTGTTTGAAATGACTGATCAGTGCTGTCCAGACCTCTTACTCTGACTGTTGGATAGTTCCCTTTCTCATTACTCATGCCTGTTGTCACAAGAGAGGAAATTGTAGCTTCCCATTGATGTTGTCTAACCAGGAAATTGATCATTTTTAATACACCCAACAATCACCTCCAGTCTTTTTGGGAATAATACAGCGAGGGTCGCAAATTTATTGAGCATTCTGATAGTTATCTTTTTTTTTTCTCCAATTCATGTTCTTTATTTTTAGTTCTGACATATCATTGAAATTTGGTTACATTTTACTTGAGTGGTTCAGCCCCAGTGTCACATGTATGTTTCATTATATTTGGGACATTTGCCGGTTTATCAGAGTGGCTCTACTTCATTAATACATCCATAAAAATTGTCTGACTATCTCGAAAGCATTATATTCCATTTGGAGTCCCTGGCTGTGGTGTAAATGAGCTTAAAATTCTTTTACTATGCTAGTTCTCTTTGACAATATGATGAAATTCTTGTCAGTTTTGCCTTTATTTCAAATGAGACCGAGTTGCACATGAATGAGTGTCTTTTTTTTTTTTTTTTTTGGGCCAAATGATGGACTTAAGATTTTAACTTGGTTCATTTTACATCATCAGATTTGTTGAATGTGCAGGGTAACTTCATCTTTGATAGTGTTGTTTCTATGAATGCTCATTTGCTGCTGGAAAAGCTTCTATCCCATTTTGACTTAGTGGTTGCAGTGTGAAATTCGTGTTGTATTTGTTTTGATCCATTCATGCATCATTGAAGTAGCTGCAAGATTTTACTGCCTTCTTATGGGTTAAGATTTAAGTTCTCAATTGAAGTGTGCAATATGAGGTTGTCATCTTTTTGCTTACTAAGGAGAGATCCATTCATCATTCTCGTGTGGCTGTTATAATACTAATACCTTTTTGAAGCTGAAACATTCCATTGCCTTTGGGACTAATAGTTTAAGTTTTCAAGGTTCAACTTTTGGATGTTCCCGTCATTCATGAATCATATTTGTGCTTATTAGTCCTCAATGCTATTCAATTTGTACCTTTTTTTTGGCCTTTTTGTATTTATTATTCTTTTCATATCTCTCCGCAAAGAAAGTGACAACGATATCCATTTTGCAGACACTTTTCACGAGGTCAAAAGAAAAAGGACAGAAGAAAGGAGGTAAGATATTTTTAAAGTAAGGCAGTTGTGTTCTCGACTGTTCATTGGTTTTATTGGTTGATTATCTTTTGTTTCTTTTGTTCTTACTCCTGAGCAAACTGTAGTAATCATGTTGGTCATGTTACCATCCATTATCATGCAAAAAGTCTTTGTTATGTCCAAAACAGAGTTAAATTATATTCGTTATATAATATCTCCTAACCATGTTTTAGACTGTGCTGTTTGTTAACTGATTACCCTTATGCGTCAGATTAGCAGGGTATTACTGGACCTCTTATTTGTTAAGAAGACCATTTTTTTATATGATGTAAAAATGTTTTTGGTTGCAGAACATAACTGCGCTAGGGAATTGATTTATGTGTTTGTTTCTTATTTTGTTCCAATATTCTTATTCGAGTTCAGTTTGTTGATAAAGGAGCATTTCCTGTCTCTGTTAATTGTTCATTTCTGGCATGTAAGGAATGTACTATTTTTTTTTCTTTTGTACTAAGATAGATGGGGTTATAGGTAAATCTCTAAAGTTGCATGCCGCTTTTTGCTTTTTTATTTTTGAAAGATTGTCTTTATTTTTTTTCTTGTTGACTAATTTTCATCTCGTTTCTTCATCCTTTTGCAGAATCTTAACAACAGAGAGTCTGGGGAGTCACGCTGGAAACCTGGCACTCAAGGACGGGGTGTTAGGGGTGGGGGTGGTCGAGCAAGTTTTTCATCTCATCATGTGTCGCATGGTGAACTAACTTTCTTAACTACAACTAGTCCAATTTTCTTCATTATTTGCCTGTTATACTTTCTTTTTGCATCTTATTACCCACATCTCCCTTTTCACTTCCTTCATCCTTTCAACGAGTTAAATAAATTTGCTTTTGTGCCAAATCAAATAGTATTTTCCTTTGACTACTTTGGTTTTATGTGTTTAGCAATGAAATGAGAAATTGGTGGATGAGTCTGAGCAATATTTTACATTTGGCTGTCTTATGCATCTTCTATTTTCAGCCCATTGATCTTGTGTGTCTTGGACGTTGTTTCCTGGCCCTGCATCTATAACTTGTAGCTTATGTTGCTGCTTTCCTTTTTATTGCTGAAATTTAAATTCAATTACTATGATGGCCAATCAGAATAATTAAACAGAAACTGTCTTCCATGGACCTTTTCTCAGATGCTGTTGGAAGCAAGAGTTCTGATACAGGCAAAGATAATGGAACCAATCAAGTCACTGAGAAAAGTGCACTGTCATTGCCAGCTTCTCAAGAGACAAAGAACAAAGAAAGAGGTTCTGAAGCTAAGTGAGTAAATTAGATAATTTTTTTTCTTGTTTTAATAACTTGCAGCTGTCTCTCAGATCGCCAATTATCTTTCTGCAATTTGGATGAATGTCTTAAGAGAGTGTGCTCAAAACTTCATAACGATTTGTCTCTGTAGCTCTGTTCCTGTTACTGCCAATGGTCCTACAATTGTTGCTTCTGGAAATACTGGCAGCGTGAATCATTCCTCCTCATCTGGTAGAAGTGAAGGAACAGGTGTATCTTTTGGTGGCAAAAATAGTTTGGGTAGTAATTTACCTTCTGATACTTTAAACAAAGGTACTGCACTTGCTTTTGGAAGTTGATCAATGCATTCCTCCAGTAACTGCTCTGCTTACACTTCTGCACCATCTTTGGTTTTTTTACCCCTCAGGTCAAGTGCTGGTTCCTCCCAATGATTTGCGGTCTTCTGGTGCTGTTGGTGCCATTAGACATGAAGTGGGAAACCAACGGCCTCCTGGTGACTTCTATGCTGGTAACTTGGCTGATAACAAGGCAACCGCTGGTTAGGACATTTTACGTCTTCCTACTTAATAATTATCGATTTCAAAGTTTTCCTAATGGAATTAACTCAGGAATTTTCCTACTCAATAACTGTGTGCCAGTTTCTGAGACTGTTAGCTCTTCTATGCAAGGAAAAATTATTGGCAAATCCCCTGGAGCGACAAAAAATCACCTTTCTGAGTCAGCCCCATCTCCGACGACAGCAACAAACGCAAACACTTCAAATAGTCGCCCATCATCTAATTATAGCAATCGCTCACAACAATTACTTGGCTCTCAGAAAGGTATGTCTCTGCAGTTTAGCTTGCTTTTAGCTGCTGCATATTCTCTGTTCACTGTTTCTTATTTTGATTCCATTATTTCCTTGAATTTGTCATTCATGTAAATTGATTGATGTTTATGTTTTAAGCACTCATTGACATCATATGTTATAATGCTGAAGTTCGTTTTGTTTTGAAGATGATGCTTGCATTTACTAATTTGGTATTAAAGCATTCACACCTTCATATTTCCAATTTCCAATGCCTAATAATTACTTTTTTTAATGTTTACTTTATATCTTTATTTTGCCAGTTATAACATGACTGCAATGATTGCCATTATCTGGTTAATGACTGTATCCTGATATCTGTAACTAGATTAATGGGTATGTTGAAATTTAAATATTTGTTGGAGCGTGCTTTTATTGATGCACTTATGTGTATTGCTTTGCTGAGTGCTGTAACCATCTGTGATGATTGATTGAGGTTTGCAAGATTTGTAACTGTCTTCTACAGCTGGTTCTAACAAAGAGTGGAAACCGAAGCCAACAAATACAATTAATCAGGGTTCTGTAGCAGCCGGTTCATCTGAGGCTGCTCCTGTCTTGGCTGAGGAAGCTGGGAAGCTGCAGTCAGCACCTTGTGTTCTTGACTCTGAAGAAGCTTCTTCTAAACTACGAAGGAAGCTGGAGGATTTACATCTTCCACAACCTCATGTTATACTACCCAATCATATCTTTGTCCCTGATTCTGAGAAGACAAAATTTAGTTTTGGGAGTTTGGGAACACCATTTGGGGTTCATACGAGCCATGTTAGCACCCCAGATAGTGAGAAGAGTTCTACACTTCTTTCAGAAACATCACAGGGTGTTGAAGAAACCACGGATGAGCAAACCTCAAGGTTTTAATGCTAATTGTGTTTAATTTGTCTCAAGCTTGGAATCTAATTCCGATGTATTTTTTTGGCTCTGTTTTTATTGTTTTTTAATTAAATGGTGACTTGAAATCAGAACTTAAAGAATGTGTATCATAACTTTAAAAGTAAGTTCATGAAAGGATTTTAATGGTGAAAGTAAAAATGTTTAAACTGCTAAATTGCATTTCATGGACTGTCTCTAGGTAAAATTTGCAAACTCCTTGAATTTTTGTTTTTTTTGTTTTTGTTTTTAATCTCTTTTTCTCGACTGTTTTCTACTGGAACAGATGACTCATGTTTCCCATATGCATTCCGAGCTGCATATACCTGCTACATTCTGTAAACCTCTGCAGTTGAAATTATTTTATTTTAACTTTTCATAAATTCCATTTTGAGCTTCTAAAAGGCACGCGATTTGTTTCTGCAGTCAAAAAGCTGCAGTTACTGCTGAGGATGGAGATTATCCTGACCATGCACAATCACCCACTAATGCACCCGAGAACTTGCCATCTAGTGAGGTGGATGTGTCATCCAGCGCTATTCAGGAGTACAATGAATCCAAGCAAGATGCTGCTTTGCCATCGGGAGGACATCAACACTCAGCAGCGCAGACTTCTCCAAACTACAGTTTTGGCTTTGTGCCCCCGATGCTGGGAACCCAACTTCCACCATTTGATAATTCTGAGTCTCAAGCACTTGATATTTCTCGGCTTCCAAGCTTTGTTGTGAGCCCTTAGATGTGTTTATTAGATTTTCTACATTATTTGCATACTCTTTACATCTTCTTGATTGGTTAAAGGAATTTATATTTATTTTTTGTGTTGCTGTAGGTCCATCAACCATTTGATCCAACTAGTTATTATGCCCAGTTTTACCGCTCAGGTGCTGATGGTGATGGCCGTCTTTCCCCTTTTCAGTCTGCTGGGGTCTCTGCCAAGTATGGTGGCAATGTTACAGTTCTTCCTGCACCAAACTCTCAGTCTCCTCAAGAGGTTTGCATTTCATAGGCAGATATATGTTTCTTTGCAGATAGAGTTCTGTATTTTTATACAACATTTTTTCTATTTGAATTTTATTTCTGAAAAACCTTATGAAATGATATAGATTGCTATTCTATCTTCAGCATCCGTTTTGATCTTAATATTATTTCTGTGGCCTTTACTTTTACCTGAAATTTGATTTGATTGGCTTGTATGAGCTAAATATTTTGCAGCTTACTCTTTTCATTAGAATATCATTTGACAAATGTCCTTGCTGGAAAATGTATCTTGTTCTTCTGTTTCATGGCTGTATCTTGGAAGAGTCATTGATTATTCTATTGGTTGATATTTTGCCTTATCTTTTTAGTCTGTGGCTTTAACTGTCAAAACGTTTCATGTTTTATTATCTGTTCAATTTATTTATTTAATTATTCTTGGTGAAAAACTTAAGTGCCCTTATCCATCCATAAATTGTCGAGTGTTTTTTTTCTTTGTTAAGACTTCTCCTGAGCTCTCATTCCATTGAGCATCTGTCCAATTGTCAAGCTTGAAATCTCTGTTGTTAGGTGCATTGTTCTTTTTGTTGGAGTAGGATTGAAAATGGTGTTAGTGTGGAAGTAGGAGTGGAAACTGACAAACTGCCAAATGTTTAATGTGCCTAGATGGCTTCTCTTGTTTACATCCTCTTGTTTGCGCTCCTAGTAAGCATATCCATAGTGTAGCTAGACATTATAATTCTGGAGTAAATCTGATCATGTTTAATTGTCTGTGCAATGATCTGATTAAAAATGCATCTTGAAAAGATATGACAGAGTAACAGAAATGCTTCATTCCAGGGTGTATTTATGAATATTTCCAACATTGAGTGTGTTACGAATGCTGAGGCTGAGCAACGAGTATTGACAAAATTTTTATAGATTTCATTTAAATAACTTATCACGACAATGGGAGTCAAAATTATTCCATGATTAGTTTACTTTTATCTGAAAAAATCAGAAATGACTGGAATCAAGCAGACCATACTGCTTAAAAACTTATCAGTTATTCAAGGATGATGCTAATCAAGTAGGAATATTAGAAGTTCATGAGTATCTAGGACTCCTGCAGTTTTTATGTATATTCATTTCTAGTTTACCTTTCAGGTTAAATTCTTCTCAGCATATTAAAAATTATAGGTATAAAAAGATGAAAATATTTTTTTTCCAGTCCCTAAATTCTTACAACCTTATTTCTACTGTAAATTTCATCATGGTATCGAAACAGTTTCAACCAGCATGACTTTTTCCTGCCTTGTCTTCAAACTAGTTCCTTCGTTTAGTTTGCTTATCCAATTCGTTTGTGTCACTGGTATTTGCTGTCTTCATTCATTATTCCTCTGTTCATAAAAGTAGAGGATTTGGCTCCACCATCAAAAATGTAGTGTCCCTGCCAGACAAACTGAAAATAGTGCATTTTGTAGTACTCAATGTACTCTTATATGCCCCTGTTGCCTTGCTGTCCTGTTGTCTCTGTGCATGAGGTGGGTGTTGTGCTGTCATCTTGCTCGAATATCTGTGTTGTAAGTGTCTTTAGTTTTCTCTCTGTTCTCTGTTTTGCCAGAAGATGTGATTGCTTCTGTTCACATTTGCTGATAGTGCTGTTTCTGAAGTGTTAGTACTCTGACTGTGATGGTGAGCTTATGTTGCTCAGGGGATTGAGGTGACTATTTGGCTGGGTTAGAGAAAGGGATGACATTTTTTATTCTCTTATTTTATTTTACTTGTACAGTCTGAAATATTTGTTTTTTTTTTTTTTTTTTGGGGAGGGAGTGTTGAAAAATATCAGTTGTGCAGGATAAATCTTGGCATTTTTTCATAGTTTGGAATTTATCATAGCCTAGCAGTAGTTATCACTTATCTGTATGTCCAGGAGGTGCTTAGGGCTGAAGTCTGTTTTTTCTCAGCACACGAGTTTTTCCATCCTCTTCTATTTTACATTTGGGTTAATATAATCATTGGTTTTTTGAGTTTGTCCTCATTTTGGTTTTGGTTCCTCAACTTTCAAACCATAGGTTTTGGTCCCTCAAGAGGCAAAATGGTCCAAGTTTTTATTAGATTATAGGGACCGACATTTTAAATGAAAAGAAACTTGAGGAACCAAAACCTATGGTTTGAAACTTGAGGGACCAAAACTCAAATGGGATCAAACTTGAAGAACCAAAATTTGTATTAACTTTTTTACATTTCAACGCATACACGAGTCCGTCAAATTGGTGGAATATGATAAAATACTTTTTCATCACTTAAATCTCGTATGCAATGTTCTGGATCATTGGATGCATATCTATATGAGAAATGGAGCACCAAATAATCATCCATGACTGTCTAGAAGGTCATCATTTGTTGTGGGTGCTATGGTGCTCTACTCATGATGACGCTGACGAAATATCAAGTTATATAACTGGGGTAATTGTGGTCATCAAGTTTTCTTTCTGTTTATAAATGTATTCTCTAGAGTCTAGATGCGAGCACTCTGTGTTGGCTATGTTTTCCTGAAACATATCTAGTTCCGTGTGCTGCTGCTTTCTGTGATAGCTATCCCATGTTTTATGCTTTTTTGTTTATCAGACTGATTTGCTGAAAATTTATGCCATTTTATGGTTGTAGGGTGGTGTCCTTTCTACAGCAGGACCAACCCCCCTTGTTACTCAAGCTGCTGGTCTGATGCAAAGCTCCATAGCGGTGACTCAGCAGCCTGTCACTGTCTTTCGACCCCCAAGTGGGGTTCATATATCCCATTATCCCCCAAATTATATTCCCTATGGTCACTATTTCTCCCCATTTTATGTTCCCCCTCCAGCAATCCACCAGTTTTTGGGTAATGGTGCATTTCCTCCACAACCTCAGGCTAGTCCTGTATATCCACCTCCTCCAGCAGCTGCTGCGGCGGGAATGAAATATCCACTTCCTCCATACAAACCCGGAACCAATGCTACAAACCCAGGTCACATTGTATTGCCGAGTGCCTACGGAGCCTATGGCTCCTCTCCAGTTGGTTATAATCCTAGTTCCACAGCAACTGCAGGAAATTCAAACTCTAATGAAGATCTAGGTCCCTCCCAGTTCAAGGAAAGTAACGTATACATCAATGGGCAGCAGGTTTAATCCTTTTTGACTTTGGCATTTATCTTGGCAACTTGATTAGTTAGCATGTTATGCTATTATACGGCCTTTTATTTCACTTGAGAACAGCAACACTTGAGAGATCTCTTTAGTTTAGCATAATGATCTAGAAGAACAGGCAAATTAAATTTGCTATGATAAATTCTATCTATATTCTTGTTTCCCATAAAATCAACTTTGGTGATGCCTTTTCATTGCAGAGCGAAGGTTCAGCAGTTTGGGTGGCAGCGCCTGGCAGAGAAATGTCCAGTTTGCCAACTAGCTCATTCTACAGCCTTCCACCTCAAGGTCAGCATGTGACTTTTGCCCCAACGCAGGCTGGCCATGGCACCTTTGCTGGCATCTACCACCCTGCGCAAGCAGTACCAGCCACAACGGTTCATCCACTGCTGCAACAGTCGCAGACAATTGCTGGAGCAGTTGACATGGTGGGACCTGGAGGCAGTGTTTATCAGCAGCCTCAGCATTCGCAAATGAATTGGCCGAGTAACTACTGAGTTGGACTCGGATATCACATCTTCCTGACTGCTAGATATTTTGAGTCCTTTCTGGGGAAAAATTTTGGGAAACTCCATAATGTAGTCGGAGTTTCACGAGGAAGACATGGCAATTGGATGATGCAATTTGAGTGTAAGAAGCTGGAAAATTTGCCAGTAACCTTCTGATTGCTTGGGTTGATGACATGAAAGGTACAGTCCGCCTGTAACCATTGAAAAGTTAGATGATAAGGTAGAAACATATGCAGGCCTTCTCTTTCTTGCTCCTGCTATTTTGTGTTACCATATGAACCCTCTTTTTTCTTTCATAGCTCCAACCCTTTCCCCTCTCTTTTATTGAGGGCCTTGAACTCTCTATTTAGGAGCAGTGTTGAGTGGCGAGAAATGTTGTTCATTCTTTGTTTTTTGTTTAATAGGGTTGGGAAGGTATAGGTTGGTGGGGAAAGTTTTTGACGCCTTTTGTCTTTTACCTGTAAAGTGAATTTTGATAGCAAGAAAATTATTTACTGGAGCAAATATTGTTGCTGTGGCACTCAGGAAGACTGTGGGGAATAGGAATAGGTTTGTGAAATTATTTCTTATATTATATCCCTTTAATTTCCCTCATTGATTGGCCAGTATTTATTAACCCCCTCCAGCTTTTTCCCTGTTAGTTTTAGGGGAATGAATTGTTTGGGATAATTTGCCTGGTCTTTGAAGATGAGCAAGACAGTGCTTATCTAAATTTAGGCCTTTGATTACAACATTGGAATGTAGATTCTGTATTATTTTAATGTTTTTATTTTTTTTTAACTTTTAAGAGAATATAATGTAGAATGGAACCATTGAAGCTGCTAAGTTAGAGAATGATTATAAAAATTTAAAAAATTATTTGGGCAATTGAAATTAATACATATAGATTTCATTTTGTAGATGAATACCGCCTGTTTATGTTATGATTAGACTTGAGACCTGCAATATGGCTGTATGTAAAGTCATTCGTACTTCGCTGTTCTTTTTTTTTTTTTTGGCTAAAAAAAGAGAAAAATAGTTGAGAGATCGGACGATGCACAGTAGTCTATCATCATCTGACACAGAAAATTTGTTGACTGCCCGCACGACAAATTTGTTTTTCTCATGTCGCAACGATGAATTAAGTTGGATTGTTTGTGGTCTGTAAACAATGTAATCTTATGTTTTCTTATCCTTGACTTGGTTTTTCCATAAAGAAATACAGGTTAAAATGTATATTTAGTTTTTTAATTTTATGTAAGATTTTAATTTGGTCTCTTAATTTTAAAACATATATTTTTAGACTGTTAGTTATTGAACTCCGAAATTGTTAATATTAAATCATGATTTTTTGTAACAATCATAGTCAGTTTGAAAATTAAACTTAATATATTAAGTATTTAGTAATATTTTATTAGCATTTAAAAGTTCAATATCATTATTTTTTGTTAACACTTTTAGAGTTAGAGAACTAAAAATATATTTTAGCCAGAAATATACCATTGTGTAAGATGTGCATGAGATTAACGGCTCGTTTAAATTGATTTATAAGTAATTTTTTAATTATGATTTATGAAATATAAATAAAAATTGTCTGAGTTTATATAAAATGTGTTTATATGTGATTTTATAGAAAAAAGATTTGAAGAGTGCAAAAGTTGTATACCACAGAGATACAAAAAGTGTAGGTCACAAACACGTCACCGTGATTGAGATGTGGCAAATATGAGGAGAAAGATGCAAAAGAACACCGACATTAAATTATTAAAACATGATAGAAAACGGCTAATGATATTTAGGAAAAAAATAAATAAATGAAAATGTCTTTACGTGCTTAACAACATAAATCAGTTTTAAATTGTAAACTTTTAATTATAAATTTCATAATTTTGACTTCAAATAGTAAAAACAATATTATAAATATTATGTATATCATTATTCATTATCATATTCATTGGTTTTTTTTTTCCTGGAAACAAATTGATTTATCAGAAAAATACAAGGATTGAATTCGATGGCGACAAGGGCCAATTGCGCCACCGCTTCAACTTCAACCCTTCCCACTTCAGTTTCGTCGTGTGCGTCGGCATAAATTTCTACTCTGTGTGCGCATTGCGCCCACCGCTTACTGTAACATTTACAATATAATAATCATCACCGCCGACGATAGATCCATTTTTCTGTTTTCACTTACTAGTTTTGTTTAGTATAAAAATCAGACTTTCCGACACTCACAGACTGAGATTGGGGTTCAGAGACAGGGAAGCTGGCAGTGACGCTCACGGCTGCATTTCTGGAAGTTAACAGGTTTGTGAATTATTTTTCAATTTGCATTCAGATCAGAGCTAGTCTTGCAATTTGGATAAGTGTGTTTGTCGGCGATCTTTGTTTTTGGTTGATATTGAAGGCTGTGGTTGCGGATCTAGTATTAACTTCTTCGTTTTCCATAAATGACTGGTGAAAATTATGTCACCATTTATAATGCCTTTCCTTTTTAATTTCCTGACGCTCTACTTGCTTTGTTTGTCATTTTATTTTACTGGGTATTTTTGCTTTTCTCCTGTTTATGTAGGGAAGTTAATATTGGGAGTAATCTGATAGGGAGATAGGAATGTGGGGTCGCTCTGCGGCGTTAAGAACCGGAAATTTCCGGCCGGAGAATTTGGGCCAAAATGCGTTGGCCATGATTGGGAATGTATGCTTCTCCCTGTTTGTTATTGGAGTGTTGGTCTTTACAATTATTGCTGCCACTTATGAACCTGAGGATCCCTTGTTTCATCCTTCGACCAAGATCACCAACTTCCTCACTTCCAAATCCAATGCCACTTTTAAATCTGATGACACTGTTGTCAAAACCGGAGAGGATTTTATGGCTACCAACGAAACTGCATTTGGCACTGCTCTTAATATAACAGATGTTAATAACTCAGTTGAATTTGAAATAAAGAGGCTGTCTCATCTGATTGTGATGTCAATGCTCCTATCGATTGTAAGGACCCTGAGGTGTTCCATTTGATGATGACAACCACTATTGAAAAGTTTAAGGATATTCACTTTTACCGATTTGGGAAACCTGTGCGAGGATCGGATGATCATACTTGTGATATGGCATGGCGGTTCAGGCCCAAGGAAGGGAAAGCTGCTGCATTTTATAAGGATTATAGGAGGTTTGAGATTTCTAGGTCCGAGAATTGTACACTTAGTATTGTTAGCATTGGGGAATACCATACAGGTGTAAATGCAAGGAAAAGAAAGAAGCATAAGAAACCTGGGTCAAAGCCAGAGGAAATGACCTCAATGCCTGTTGTTGGAGAGATTGTTAATGATAGCCTTCCTGTAGTTGAGTCTGAAAGTTCGTTTAGTCATCAAAAGTACTTGATCTATGTGGGTGGTGGAGATAGGTGCAAGAGCATGAATCACTATCTTTGGAGTTTCTTGTGTGCTCTTGGTGAAGCTCAATACCTTAATCGGACATTGGTTATGGATTTGAGCATATGTCTTTCTTCGATTTATACTTCTTCAATGCAGAATGAGGAAGGCAAGGATTTCAGGTTTTACTTTGATTTTGAGCATTTGAAGGAGGCAGCCTCTGTATTGGACCAGGAACAGTTTTGGTCAGATTGGAATAAATGGCAAGAGAAAGATAGGTTGAATCTTCATCTTGTGGAGGATTTCAGGATCACCCCCATGAAACTTGCAGAAGTTAAAGATGCTTTGATTATGAGAAAGTTTGGATCTGTAGAGCCAGATAACTACTGGTATAGGGTCTGTGAAGGAGAGACTGAATCTGTTGTTCAAAGGCCATGGCATTTGATATGGAAGTCAAAGCGGTTGATGGAAATAGTGTCGGCAATAGCAGCAAGGTTGAATTGGGACTATGACTCTGTTCATATTGTGAGAGGTGAAAAGGCAAGAAACAAGGAACTTTGGCCTAATCTAGATGCAGATACCTCTCCTGATGCACTTCTCTCAACCTTGCGGGACAAGGTTGATGATGGAAGGAACCTCTACATAGCAACAAATGAACCAGACACATCTTTCTTTGACCCTTTGAAAGATAAGTATGCCACTCATTTTCTTGATGAATACAAGGATCTTTGGGATGAAAATAGCGAATGGTACTCTGAGACAACAAAGCTTAATAATGGGGTTCCTGTAGAATTCGATGGTTACATGAGAGTCTCTGTTGACACTGAAGTGTTCTTGAGGGGGAAAAAGCAGATTGAAACTTTCAACGATTTGACCAATGATTGCAAGGATGGAATCAATACCTGTAGCGTTGCAACCAACTGATTTCTGTGACATTTGAGATTTTAATTTGTTTCATATAGTGGAATTTCCGGCATCTGTACTCTTAGCTGTTATCTGTGTTGCATTCGATATATTGTAGCTTGTCTGTTCAACTCGTTGTAGTAAGGAGTAAAATCATCCAGTTTTGTGTTGTAAGAATAGTGCTTCCTCAGAAGTTATGAACCCACTCGATTAAAATTTGTTCTGTGATTGAATCTCATCTGTATAATCTGCTGTTTATGGTTGGAAAGATGCAACTTCTGTATTTTTATTTATGGTCTTACTACTCACTCAAAAACCTAATATGGGCCATCATTCTCTTCATGAAAAGCTTTGTTAGTAGATAAAATAAAACTAGCGTACAGGTTGAATTGACGTGTTTCCTCTCTGAGGATCTTCAAGTTTGCTTCTTCTACTATTTATTTCGATTGTAATGCTAGTAAGTAACATTGCTTATTTTCTTGCTGTCTCTTGTTTAGGTTGTATTAAGGTGTATTGTCTCTTTGTTCTTACTGTGTCGCTTTCTTTTCATAGGATATTCCTTCTTTTGTTCTGAGTGAGAGCCCGTGCTATATAAGGATTGGGGAAATTGGGGAAATTTTCCATATTTAAGATTTTATTAGTGAGAAGGATGTAGAGCAAAGTATAGTACAACGCAAAATGTACAAAAGCACTACCTGTAAAAGTTTTTATGGGGGGTCCTCACTCCAATTTTCCCGATAAAGATTATATTAGCGGGTCTGCTATGTTTTTCTTTTTCGTGTTGTTTTTGTTTATTTTCCCCCCTGCGTAGTGAAAGCCATCTGACTAAGAAAATAAAGGCTCATACACACGAGGTGGCTTGGTGGAGATATTGATTTTGATACCTTTTTTCACAGAAAAGATCCGTTATCCGCCGGTGTGATCAACCTCGTTATGATTGGACTAAGGACTTGTAGTCAGTCCTTTTTCTAGAATTTCATTGCCATGGGCCGTGCTCAATGATTTTAGGCTATTGTTTTGTTAAACTACTTTCTCTTAATTCAAAGGGGATTATTTGGTCCCCCAAAAAAAAAAAAAATCAAAAGGGGATTGCAATTGCAAAGCGTCTGCTAACTATTAAGAATTAGATTTTACCTCAGATAACAACACTGAATACTTGCGTGGATAATTATACAGGGACTTTTTTGATAGCAGCCAATGAGTAGCGTTTTTTGGTCTGTGCATAATAGAAAAGGTATGAAGAAAATAAATTTCTTTTCAAAACATTCGCAAAGAAAATATATTATTTGCATTTTGAAATAAAAATCAATTATTATTATTATTATTATGTCAGTGATAAATATCTTCAAATACGGAATTTCCTTCTCTCGTGATCAATTGGGCTCCTGTGATATTATTATTCTTCCCTTTGATACAGAGCAAAGTTACAATATACCATGAGAAGACAAATGATTTCATGACTAGCTACCTCCGATCCGTAATATAAAAGATAGTATGAAAGTGAAGGAGCTTGGATACGTGGTTTCACTTGTAAAATCAGTTCAGCTCCCTCAACTATTGCTGAAGTCTTAGCCATGTTTCAAGACCTAAAGCTTTACTGGTCAAGAGGTTTTCGAAGTGTCATTCTCTATTCTGATTGTACTGAAACTCTTAATCTCATTTTGAGAGGCTGTTCTTAGAATCACCCATTTCAAGACATTATTGAGGACACTAGGATACTCCTCAATTACAACTGGAGGGTCTTACCTACCTTTTTTCCTAGGGAAGAAATTCCTTTAGCTGATCTTTTGGCTAAAATGTCTCATACTCAAGATAATCCTTTTTGTATTTTTGACCACCCTCCACCTATTTGAAAAAGGAGGAAGGGTTGAACTGCTTTGTTTTCTGGCTCTTTTGTAATGATTTACAGTTTCAATTAAAAAAAAAAAAGGTAGTATGGAAGTGAATTTCATTTTAAATATAACACACCAATCTATTTTTTTCCTTATATTTATCCAAACTAACCCTATTAATTACATATGTTATAGGAGTTTGAGTCAAAGGATAATTTCAATCCAAATAATTTAAGAGGGTATTTTAAAAAAATAAATATCTATTTTTGACAACTAACTAATTTAATTACTTCATTAATCTACTCAAATTAATTAAGTAGATCTTATATTATTTTAGCAAGTGCCATAAAACAAAATATTTGATTTTGGTACATATCAAACATTTTTCATGCCTAACTTCATATTATGAGATTTTCATTTTTTTTTATTCTGGTAAAATATCTCAATGAAATCAAAAGAGGCATGGACATGGCCATATGGGTTACTTCTGATTTACAGTGAAAAAGCAAGTCAAGCATTTTTTTTTTTTAGGGTGCTTCATATCAACTTCATAAAATATTACAATCTCTAATTCTAAATATAAAAACTAGTTAGGAATTTAATTTTATCTTAAATATAAAACTCCAATCTATATTGCCTCCCATATTTATACTTTTCTTCAAAATAGTCCCTATAATGATTGCATGCATCAAAAGGCTTCCATTGTAATACACATGATTAATAATAATATTTTAGAAAAGACATCACTCATTTATTACAAATAATGTGATTAATTTTTTTAATATTCGCAAATTAATTATTTAACTCTTATATTAAGGACAAGAAAGAGTATAAACATTTTTCTGTATTTCAATACTTTTATGACTGGATAATACAAAATGTTCTCTCTAAATGTCAATTAATAACTAAAACCTACTTAGAGTACATTGCACAAATGAAATCTAAAGAACTTTTGGACCTCTGATATTTTCAGTCGGAAAAGAATTTATACAGAAGTTTGTCCTTGGGCCTCTCAAAATGAAACCTCAAACTTCTGGTCTTCCATACTTTCTCTCCCTAACCTATGTATGCCATCCCAAACAATCAAAACTAGAACACAAGGGAAAAAAGGGAAGGAGGGTTATTTCAATTTCAAGAAAACTACTTTACAGATCAGGGTGACTGATTTATTGCCTGCTATTTCAAAAAAGAACTTTTGTACATATCACGATGACTACTTTATTTCCTCCTACCCTTCAATTTCTTGACAGGAACGAGGGTCACGTTTTGGCCAGGTTTTTTGGTACTGGCCTCGGAAGATCTCAACATTGAAATGGCGACTTGATGTTGATGCCGATTTTTCTCCACTTTGTCATCTGTAAATGGCTTCACCTCGAATGTTCCTCTGGTGAAACCTCTAGCAACCTGAGCCAATTTAAAACAGCCAACTCTTAGTTGATAAATCCCAGAATGATAATTGATGTGTCAATTATTTTTGAAGCAAAGATTAATTTATCGAAAAGCATATTCATTTTAGATTTTGCTCCTTCAATCTAATAAGAAGACACAGAGATCTCATCATGCAAATCACAGCCCAGCGTTGGTATATATGGCGGTGCATCACTTAATGGATCATTCACATGCAACAGTGTATTATGCAGAATAATAATATACAGGAAGCATTCCTAAGAAGTAGTCCTCATTAACGGAGCACACAAGAGACTGCAGCATAGCGTTAACTAAAAACCCATTTTCGATCTTTCATAGTAGTATTGATCAATTTGGTCCTTTACAAACAAATACGTTATTAATGATGTCTTCTGTCAATCTACTGTAAATGAAGTCAACAGACATAGAGTATTCTTGCATGCTTTTTTAACTAGTCACTATTATATGATATTTAGATATTTAGTTTTATTTGTAAGGGATCAAATTGAAAAATATCTATATGTGAATGTCCAAATTAAAAAGGCAATTCTGTGAGCTTGTCGAATTACAAAGCTTGAACTTGGCTCGGATTATTGGAAGCTGGAATTTAGAAATTGTCCACTTGAATTGAAAGACACTCTGTTTTATTCATTCTTATGAAGATTCAGTTAGAACCATCCACGGAGAGCGCTCTCTAAAGAGCCAACAACCTAGCTTCAATACCAAGTGATGGGTAGCTAAGGGGATAAGAAACCCCAATGCTAACTGTTTGGGTGTGAGAATCAACTCATTTAAATACTTCATTGAGCATCCTATACTACTTAATGTGGGACTTAGTATCCCATGTTGCTAAATCACCATCAGCATGCCTCACTGTTCCACCATAAATTCAGCACAGGCATAATCGGTTCAAAGAAATCAGCTTTACCTTTAAGAGAATCCAGACTTTAAGAGAGCTGCTCAATATTGCAAGTCTCGTCTTTTTCCCATAAGTCAGATACTCGCACATATGGTGGTCAACTCTCAGAATAAACTTTGGCCAGGACTTTGGGTTTTCTGGGTCTGGCTTCCCATCCATTGTTGCCTGGGAAAAGGGTGGGACGAAACAAGAAATCACAAGTCAGTACATTAGAGATTATAGAAACATTCAGAAAGGTGGGGAAAAACAAGCAGAGAGAGAGAGATATTCGGCAATAGCTGGAAGAAGAAATAACAGCAGGTAATATGCAAGACATCATATTAATCGGGAAAATTTTAAGTACAGTATACTGAATAAGACATAAATTTGTACTTTTACAAAATATCTCCTTCATAAATATAAGAATTTTTTACCATTTTTTTTGTTGGTATGTTTTATCAAGATTATTAATTTTAGAATCCCATGCGATGTGTGGGTTCCTTTAATTGTCAAATTAAATTAATTATCAGCAATGCTTTTTAGCTCAATATCATGGCTTATCTTTTCTAAGGTCTTTGAAACTTGTATTGCTATTTGTCGTGATTATATGTATGAAAGAGAAATAAAAAAGATGCAATTTTGTACTCACAAGAAGCCGGCAGATTTGTTGTTCAATTTTTGCGAACGATGTCTCCAAAGCTTCAACCCTGCCAGTGCCATGGCAACAGGAACATGGTTCACTAACCATGAAAGTTACACTAGGTCGAACCTGTTGAATATTAGTAACCATTTGTTAGGTTGTTTAATTAATCTTGATTTAATTTGACTGGAAGTTGTGCAAACAATCAACAGAAGAAGCTACACTATAGCTGAGGAATATACCCTCTTTCGTGTTATTTCCATGAGTCCATGCCTAGACAATTCAGAGACTTTAACCATGGATCTGTCTCTCTCAACTGCCTTCTTGACTTCTTCATACACCAACCTTTTATTCGCTGATCACAAAGAATCCAGGCTCAATAAACAAACGTATTGACAAAAACTTTAGGACTGATCACCAAAGAACAGGCTCCATTTCAAAGTAACAAGAAAATGACCAACAATTGCATTCTTAAGCTAGTTATGGTTGCACCAATTAAAACATTTACTATACTCGGGAGATTTACCTAGAGGCTTGATGACTTAAGCAATTGACAATTCAGCTTTGTCCATGATTTATGGAAAGATTTGCACTTGAAGGACCAAATTAATAGTTATAAAATCATTCTTGGACCTTGGTTAGTAGTTACATCTCTTAAGTCAAGTGGTTCATAGAAAAAGGATATGAGCTCTGCCAAAAAGATGTGTAACAAAAAGATGTGTAACATGGCAACTAAAATGGGGAACTCAGTCAGAATAAGAATTGCAATTTCTTTGATTAAAAAAAAAAAAAGAAAGGCAATTTCTGCAATTTTTCAGAAGTTCAAGTTGAGATGGTCGGAGGGAAAATTTAGAAGCCATCTTGAGGAAATTGCACTTCAAGTTAGCCAAAATATGTCACATCATGTCACGCATAAACACAAACACACGAAGATAAAGAAGCAGAGAAAGAGAAAATGTCCTTTACTATACTTGGATAATTGTCGGTTTTGAGGGGGGAAAAAGGCCTATTCGCTCTATGAAACCTTGAGTAAAGTTCTTTATTTGATAAACTGAAAGAATATTGTTTAATCAGCGAGAGACTAGCAAACCCAAGAGTATAATTCAATAATAATAATAAAAAAATTTTGTGCCAAATGCTAGCAATATTATTGATCAATAGGCAATGATTTAACTTTCTCGTCATCACCATGTTACAGTACAATTATAGGCATAAAAGCATAAATAATCTTCAAGTTAGGTGAATAAAATTTGCATAGCAGAACATAATACTGATAGATGAACTTGAAAGGGGAACACAACAAGCAGCGAATTCTCATATATTCAGGAAATATCCCTTAAAAGTTTATTGCCCTTAAGCCTCCTGTTATGGAAAGTAAAGAAATAGGAGAGAGAGAGAGAGAAAAGAGAGAGGGAAAAGAGTAATAAAAACAGAGGAGAATTAGAGAAGAGTAGAAGAGTAGAAGACCAAGAGAAACTGAATAATTTCTACTCACATTCCGAAACTGAGTTACAAAGGATGGTAGGTATTTATTTATAAGTAAGAGCCTAATAGATATCAAGCTAAATAAATATCCTAATCTATCCAAATCCTACTAATATAATTAAATACTATCTAAATCCTAATAATATTATTTAAATCCTATTTATATCATATTTAAATATTTTCTTATTTATAATTATAATTACATAGCAATACCCCCTTCCTAAAAGACCCTTGCCCTCAAGGGTCAAGTACACAAAAATTTGTCCCGCACCAGCACCAAAAAGCATATTGATTAAGTTTCCTTTAGACCAAATTCGAACCAAGCATCTTGTAGGAGAAAGATGAACAAGAGAAACCCAATTAATCGATGGTAGCAACGACTTGTGGCTCTTTTCTTGAGACAAGGCCCACAAAAGCGAAACCTGTTAAAGTGTACTTTTTTCTGCATGTTGGGAGTTGTGTCTTTGACTTTCCTTTATAAAGCTTATCAATTCTGTCATTGGTATGGTGGAGGATGTTTTCATCGTATCTTGAACTGCCAAGTCTTTTGCTCGATCATCGGAACCTTCTTTTTCACTTCCATACTCGCATGGACAATCTTTCTTGACGTTATTATCATGCTCAAGGGGTTCTTGCACTTTGCCAAACACTTCTTGGGTGGTGGTCGTTGGTTGATTGTTGAATCCTACTGACTCTTGTAGTTTGATGGACTCTTCTTGGTACGACATATTTGCTTCTTGAACTTCCAAACCTTCTTCTTGATCTTCTAAGGCTTTTCTTGCCTTTTCAGCTTCCCAATCTTTTCGCAAGTCTGCTACCTCTTGCTTTAAGATTGGTAGAGTTTCATGCCTACCCCACTTATTTTTTCAAGCCGTCGAACCATGTTTTGGATTTGTTCCACCATAGAATTCATTTTTGGTATGGCAGCGGCAATAGAATCCATATTTTGAGTGATAGTGGCCAAGAAGCACAAGGCTCTGATACCACTGCTATGGAAAGTAAAGAAATAGGAGAGAGAAAGAGAAAAGAGAAAGGGAAAAGAGTAATAGAAACAGAGGAGAATTAGAGAAGAGTAGAAGAGTAGAAGACCAAGAGAAACTGAATAATTTCTAATCACATTCCGAAACTGAGTTACAAAGGATGGTAGGTACTTATTTATAAGTAAAAGCCTAATAGATATCAATCTAGATAAATATCCTAATATTATCTAAATATCCTAACCTATCCAAATCCTACTAATATAATTAAATACTATCTAAATCCTATTTATATCATATTTAAATATTTTCTTATTTATAATTATAATTACATAACACCTCCTCATAGGACTATATAGATCTTTGGAAAGTCATTATAATAAAACAGAAGACACAGATAAAAAGTAAATGGAAGAAGTTATCTTCAATGGAACTCATTATTTGATATGTACTTGAATTGCAGAAACAAGGGAACGTTTTCTACTTACCCTCATCTGTCATATCGATGAAATCAACTACAATAATGCCGCCAATATCCCGTAACCTCAACTCCCTAGCAATCTGCAACATACTGTTTCTATTAAACAGACAACTTGTAATGGATAAAAGCACCAGTAAATATTTATCTTCAAGAGTGAAAGAACATTAGGATCAATACTATGGCTGAAAGACAACAACATAATCATCCAACACACAAAATGATCAGAGTAAATAAAACTTTCTCTAAATTGTGTACACCAGGTCCATAAGCAAAGTATTACTCTTGTCTCTCCTTTGACATTTTATTTTTATAATTTGTTTATTAAATTTACACTCTTTTAATGTTTATCAAAGGAGGTGATTTAGAGGATTCAGTGATAAGATACAAGCAAAGGCTGTACTTGGATATAGTTTTGCATGCTAAATGGTTCAGATTTTCTCCTTGAGAAACAGCACCTTTCAACTACTGTAAAGATTATCATCATGAGTTTTACCATGTAGTAGCAGCAGTAGCAACAACAAAGCCGTATCCTATTAGGAGGGGTCGGCTACATCGATCACATGATGCCATTGAGCTCTATCCAAGGTTAAATTTTTGGGTACGTTGTGAATTGAAAGATCTTGCTCAATGTTCTCTTTGGCCTTCCCCTCCCCCTTTTTAGGGGACTCCATGCTGTTTGAGCTTTATCATGCACATCGCAAGTTAGTTTTTACTTATTTTGGTGATGTGATAATTTCCTGTTTATTTACAGTAGAGTTTCATAGTGACAGTGAATTGGACTCAAACGTTAATAACAAATAATAAATATTAAAAACACTGGAAATATTTCTAAAATTCTTATGAAAGAAATCTTCAATTCCCCCTGGCCCCCACAAAAGGAAAAGGAAAAGAAAAATCTTGGGATTTAAGGGTGAAACTATCAACATAAATGACTTTTAGGGGTACGTGTCTATATATAAGGCCTTGTGGCAAGAGAAACGCAAAAGAAACAACAGATAAGGTCAATGATACGTGGTGTTTATGATTTCTCATGGAAAGTCTTTATTTACAGAACTTCTCTATCAGACTGGTTTTGGGATTGGTCTTGGAGGCCTTTTACTAATATCCATACTCGTCTTCACAGAACAGGAGAGAATAATGCCAATATTTATCTTATCAAAGTCTATGCGATCAGCAAATAGACAATAATATAGAGCTCAGAAACCAACATACTTGTTTAGCAGCAGAAAGATTGACATCTAGGATAGCTTTCTGCTGTGAGGTTCCATGACCAAACATCCCATGCCCACCATTTACATCAATAGAAACTAATGCCTCAGTTTGTTCAATGACTAGAGAACCTCCATTAGCAAGTGGAACCCTACAAAATAAAAAAATTAAAAGAAAGCAGGAAAGTCATTCAAGTTACCAAGTCTGCAAAGAAGGCCAGAACAATTCACATCTCAGGAAAGAGTTGGCAAAGAGACTGTCAGTTGAGTTACAGTTTTATCTAGTGACTTTCTTTAATCGATATGTTGGTCTTTAAAACCACAATTTGATCCACTAAAGTGAGTAAAAGATCAAGAACTTGATACCAAGAAGGTATAATTAAAGAGTCTCTTCGATTTAAAATAACAGACCTTCACAAAGAGGAAAAATTGTGACTTGTTATGGTGTATTTCTGGAATGAACTGATGGAACCTTTGAAACCATGTTCTTCAATCAGATTATTTTCGGTTCACCACAAGGCCCTGCTTTTGTTGTTTTATAATATTCTTTTGAGAAAAATTCAGATCATTCGAGTGATGCATGCTGATTTTCTCTAGCGTCTTCTATACATTCATGAGATTCCTGGTCCTCTGGATTAAATTCATTTCAAAAGGGGGATAGAAGCAAACCTTAATTAATTAGACCAGTGTTGCGGACATAAAATGCTTGAAAGTTGAAACCATAGGGCACATTATTTTTTAAAGTTATTGTGGAAATCCCTATGGTTATAAGCTTTAAAAGGCATTTTTTTTCCTTTTTGTGAACAAAAGGCTAGTATTTATTTCCTTTGGACAATAATTATATTAACTTCCTTATATTCACTGTGTCAAGTTCTCCCATCACATATGACCACGTGTCATATTTTTGAACTATTAACATTAAATGGCATTTAATTACAAATTCATATGAAACAAAAAGGGACACATGGCCATGTGTAATTGAAGAACTTGACATGATGGATCTAAGGAACTTGACCTAAGTTTTTTCCATTTCCTTTTCTCCTTGGAAATAGTCAGATAAGATCTGATATTGTTCTCCCTGATTTCTAGGCTAGATTTCATTCTGTTTTAAATGTATGCAGTGTATATAATGTAAGGTGTATCAATCAATGACAATATGAGTTTCCTGGATCCCTACACACAGTTGTTCAAAAATTACCAGAAACATTCGTAATTTTTATTTTCAGAGACTTAAGAAACTTTGGAATTTTCTCAACATTTTTCTAAAACTAATAAACCCATAATTTCCAATTCTTAAGGAGCATAAGCATTCAAAACAGTCCTATGTACTGAGAAAGGATTTCATGACAGCACAACCAATGCCAAGGATATTAGAGTCATTAAATGGCCTAGTATTAATAAAGATTAGGGTATACTCACCCTCTAGGGTCTTTGAATGATATTTGTTTTTGGTTCTGCCTCACTTTTATCTCTCACTTTCCTTCTTCACTTTTTTTCAAACACCAAGTGTTAGTTAGAAGCATAGTGAATTCCAAACAACCCCAATAAAATCCTTAATGGAAACCTAAAGTCTTTTCTCGTTACAATGCAAATGGTCCTCATATAATCTTTATCAATGTTCCTACAGCATTCCACAAATGTTAATTTGGTGTAACCAGTTTGATAAAAAAATCATTAAGAAGCTTATCTAAAAACAAAGCCAAATGCAATGAAAATGTTGAAAGTTATAGGCAGATGAAGAATAACGCAACTTTACCTTTTGCTAAGGATATTGTCAATTTCTCCTTCAATGTTAAATTCATCAAAAAGTGGAACTTTTTTATCATATAGCTCAACTCGATCACAAAGATCAGGGGCAATTTCCTGGAGGTAACTGGTCACCTGAATAGTAAATGAAGAGGATAAGAACCGAAACAGAAGTTGAACTATGAAAGTCTGTACATGGAATCTTCAATAAGCTACTGATCTAAGTGCTGTAACTACATCAGAAATATGCCATTCATATAGCAGCCTTAGATGATATAAAATAAGCACGCTTATGACCATCAGTAACAATTTTACACTAGTTATCATAATAATGTAAACACAGTACACAGTTCCTAACATCTTTGCTTTAATCAAGGTCTGATCAAAATTTAACATGATACTATAGTAAACCAAAATTTGAGAACCCAAGTTAAAGCAGGGCAGAGCAAGCTCACGGTAAAAAAAAATTCTCCCCGTAAAGATATAAACTCTTGGGGGGAACATAACTTGAAGTTCACACACAGATAGAAATGGTCGAGACCTATTCTGGCAACATAGTCATTTGCAGCAAAAAGTTTGTAGATACCTCATGATATGTCCTCGGGGAGTCAAGCACCATTTTCTTAACCTGAAGATAACATCATAGCCACAAGTAATTAGGAGACATATCATAAACTGCACTTTCTATAAGTGATATTACAGAGATGGATGAAGAGAGGGAGTTCGAATGAGCAACAGAACTAACCGTTTCACTGAAATAATCCTGGACTACAGAGAGAGTTTGACCCATTGCTGTGTGCAAAATAACAGGAACAGCTCCTTCTACACCTTCATCTGCTGCAAGTGCCGCAGATTTTGCATGTTCCATTATATTCTTCCAAGTTGAAAGCAAACCTTCCAAGTCTTTCTGCAGTTCATCTAATGAATGACCAGCAGCAACAGTTCTTACAGTGAGGCCAAAGCCTTGAGGCTGCAATGTCTTTGCGATAACTTTCAGTCTTGTGCGCTCAACACCAGAAATTTTTTTGGAGATGCCTATTCTATCACAACGAGTCACTAATATCTGCGAGCCAGAAAGTCTAGTTCAGACAAGTAATATTTGAAAGATAATCCAGGGTAAAGACCAGGAATGATATAACTGCAATGTTGAAGGGCAGGTGCATGCGTAAAAACATACCCAGAATCTACTTCTTAATTTTGGATAAGCAGTAAGGGTGGGACCTTTAGTACCAAGACCCTCTTTGACAACTTGTACAATGATTTTGGTGCCCTTCCGAACTTGAGTCCATTTGCTTTCTTCAGGTGGTGCGTGTTTTCCCTTTGTATCTTTGTCTTGCATAACTTGATAACTGACAGACCCATTTATGCCAGTGGAAAGGCACATGCTATTGGTTTCTTCTTCTATATGGACTTCATTTCCATCAATGTCATCCTCAAAATCAGCTTCTACTTCACCATCATCAACCAAGCTGCCATTTACATTTTCCTTAAGGACTTCTGAAATATCAAAATCATCTTCTCCTTCCTGCTCATCATAGTCATTGTCTGGTGATTGTAAAGAGCCATGCTCAGAGTGTGTGTCTGACATTCCATCAGTGACTTCAACATCATTAGACATGAAATCATTTTTATTGGGAAAGGAGGAAGCCTGCAGATCTTGTTTCTTTGTTCTTTGACGAAATGGAGGGAATATAAATGGCTCCCTGTTATGCTTTATGTCCATTAGAGAAGGCCTGGAACTACCAATATTTACAAAAGCTCCACCCATATGGGGAACAAGCTTTGTGACGACCCCTATATATACACTATCACATTGCACATTGTTCTTCACTGGTTCTAGTAATAATTCAACCAGTTTCTCATCTTCCAGCACAGCAATCCTTTGCATGGTACATATTGAAGAGTTAATCAGTATAACGGTAGATACAGGGTCCTTTGGAATAATATCACTACTTTCTTCAGGCAACAACTTGTCTGTGTCAGCTAACTTCACTTGATTTTCTACAGTGGAACCAGTTCTTGCCTCATCAGATTCTAATCTATCCTTGGAGACTCGGGAAGAAGGCAGATAGAGCAACCAGGGTTCCTCAATAGGCTGGTAGTTATCAGTACAGATGCTACTACAATTTGAAACCATATTGATTGCGTTTACCATATCCTCATTGTCATAATAGAATGGATCTTCTACCCCAAGTGCCTTCAACTTTACTATGTCAGTTTCAAGCTGATTCATAATCTTTGCTTCATCTGTCAAACCACTGTAAACATTTGAGTGTTCAGAAAAATATTATGCAAAGAAGTTAATATAAATGGACAAGAAAAGGGAAAAACACCTTTGACTAGTAAAGATATGGGGGCGTGCTCTGGAGGATACATTTCTTCTATATAGTGAGCACATGCATGAGCTGCAGATATCTGGGAATCAGATCTAATCCATGAATCCCTCACTAGAATTGGAGCATCTCCATGAACAGTAGGAGGTACTGACAGAAAAAACTCTGGTCCAGGCTTCCAAATTATGTCACTTGAGGAGCCTGATTTTCCCTTAACGAAGTAATTATATTTGAAATTCAAGCCACATGCAATCTGCAAGAATAAACAGTTTGAGTTACAATGAACATTTATGAATGTGTAATTTGATGTTCACATCATATTCCAAGATAACAGCTTTTCAGTCAGGAAATGTTATCCTAATTTCTAAGTATCTTAAAAAATCATTTTATAGAAGAAATGTAGTGAATACTAAGATGTTACTATATTATTCAAATATAAATGTACAAGTCTCACCAAAAAAATCATGTACAACAAAAGAACAAGAAATAACTTTAAGCATCTCGAGATGGTCAAGATGGGTTCCTACTTTCCCATTCTGGTTGTTTTTCTTTTATGGTAATCTACCCTTATCTTCGGGCCCTGGATTGCACAAATTTGGCCCATGTTCAGCACATGTCTAATTTCTTTTTGCTTTTTTTTTTTTTTGGGTTTTGACACAAAAGACATATCAGCAGTGCCATTGTCCAAGATGCCTGAAAATATATGTATTATCCAAATCATTAACGAGACACAATACCTGATTTGACAACATAAAGTCCTTCTCCTAGAGACTTAGAACAGAATTCTTCAATAATATTAAAGTTCCAAGATGTATGCAAGGGTGTCTTTTTCTTCTTGACACATATACTTCCACCATATCCTTTTGATTCTTAATAACACGTTAGACAACAGTCACATTTATAGCGCTTATTTGCATGGTGATCCACAGGAAAGTTACAAGTATTGCTGTAGAAAGTCAGACTCCCATCAAAAGGGTAGCTTTATGGATCTCAATATTTTTTGTTTCATTTATTTCTGTGTTTGCAAGCATGCAATTTTTGGCATAAGATATTTCAAGTCATTCAGCTCCTGTGAAGGATCAATACGAAAGGTAAACACAAACTGTACATAGAAGAATCTCCAAACTAAATTATCTTTCAAGACAAATAAAAAAAATTATGAATGAGCTTAAAGAAACAATCCATTCAGATTACCTTGAACTCAGCCTTCCATATGTTAGCATGCTCTGTAGGAGACATCAGTAAAGCCATGTCTGACTTCCAGCAACCTAGTACAGCAGGATCACCAGTAATGTAAAGGACCTGACCATCTTCTAAATCAGCTTCTATGGTCCAGATGATCTTGCACAATTTATCAGCACTTTTGCTCGGCTTGCCTGAAAAATTTTGTCGACTGATTCATCATCAAGTCTAAAATACAGGAAAATACATTTGAAATTTATGACTTGAAACATGAAAACCCTAAAATGCAGTAACAGAGAGAAGCCTGGGTTAAAAATAAGATGTAATGCTCAAAGAGAATGGATGTTCAATTCTGATAGACACTTGCTTAGAATTAATGTTGTCCAAACAAGAATAATGCCGGTATGTTTGTATAATTTTGGCTTGAAGTACAATTGAGCAGATATGTCTATATCTCACTCTATGTAACAGATGAAGATTTTTGCTTATAAACATAGTTCATATAATCATCTTAATTATGATTTATACACCGAGGAATCCATCAAATTGAATCTTTTCTTCACTGCACCTTGCAGGAGAAGGATATATCATGGCAATTATATGACTACAAGAATAGAGAATATATATATTTATATATATAACATCAAGCATACAATCTAACTACTGACCTTTGCATTTTAATTAAGCATTGTGATCAAACTTGTAAGTTAAAGTAAAGTTGACTCACGAGAGGCTGGTTAACTCTGTATTTGACTTAACTTGTAAGAGTCTAAGGCCTTCAATAACTAGCTAAGGAAGTACGTATACCCATTTTTTTGGACATTACATGTACTCAATAGAAACTTTAGGTGCATCAAAATATGAGAAAAAAGTAATTAAAAATTAATGGCAATAACATATTCATTATGCATAAATCAAAATCTAAAGGGCAGGAAACAAGTAAATAGTCTCAAAAGAGAAAAGACATAAAATGACCTATTAGTTCAACGCAGTTAGAAGCAAAAGTGATGAGTTGAGATTGAGACTTGAGATAAGGGAGCTCAAGAAAAGAACAGGGAAAGAACAGGAGATTCTTGTTGTTAATTAATGAAAAGCTTGTTCTAAATGGGAAGATTGGATGCTTGTTGAGAAATAGAATCAGAAGTCACAGCAGGGGGATTGACTAAATTGGTGAAGTTGGAGCATAAAGGGCTTCAATGATTGAACTTCAACAAATGTAGGAACCATTTTGAGGTTTCATTACATTAATATTTCACTCATGAGCTGTGTTAAACTCCAGAGAAATAGAGGAATAAGAAAGCATGGTGAATTACCAACAAGCTGTTGGTTGAGACAATAAACGGTGTCACTTCCGCAAGGAGGAGAACACAAATTCAAATTCCAAGAAGCGCACTTGTTGCGCTCCCGGCTTGAGGAGATTAGTCTCAAGCGCAAAGTGACTTGAGGATATTAGTCTCAAGCCCAAAGTAACTCGAGGATACTCTAAGTTATACCAAAAAGAAAAAAAAAGAAAAAGAAAGCAAGGCTAATGAACTCATGAAGACATGAAAAGCCAAGCTTAAGGGGGAGCAGAAGATAGGGTTAAAGCTGGAGCATCTTGATTCCCAGGTAGTCCAGCCACTTAAACGGCCCCGCATACTCAAAGAGTGAGTACATAAAGCTGAAGGAAGAAAGTAATTCAAACAAGCATCTGATTCCTATGCTATTGACTGTTGGCAAGATATACTAGAGAAAATCTTCATACTGACATACGCTGCAGAGAAGATTAAAGACAGATGAACAGTTGAGGTAAGCATGCAACAGCAATGAACAATATTGCAAGAAAACTCAAGCCTAAGGGAGTTCTATCTGATATTTAAAAGGAAAAAAAATATGTGCAGAGGGGCATGCACATGCACAAAGATAAGTGGAGAAAGAGCACAATAAACTAATAGGAAAGAGCTAAGCTAACAGTGCAAATATTGAAGTTACCCGTTGATAATGTAGCCAGTCTTCTGACTGATTTACGACTCTTCACAGAACATGTGAATCTGAAAATATTTCGAGGTGGCACTTGATGGTATATGTGCCTGTCTCAACATTATCATACGAAGTGCTGCTAAGAGTCCAGACAAATAAACAATGCAAAGAATGTGAAGCCTTCCTAGATGTATTGAGCTACATGCCAAATCAATCAGTAAATATCCTATCTTTCAAAGGTGAAACCATCAATAAACCTGGATTCTGAAATCTGCCCATACAATTTTTCTACTATCCAAATAATGACATTTATTAAACCGGGTATAAAGAAAGGAATTTTTCCTCTTAAGCTGAACTCCGTAAGATGACAGTAAACAAGTACAAAAAACACCCCCAAATGAAATGGGTAAGTACAAGATTTAGTTAACAAACGTTATCACTTTTCAAGCAAGATGAGCGACTGAGCCATGCAAACTTACAGCGACAGAGACCTCTTAAAGGGGAACAGCGAAGAGCAAGAGAAGGGACTGTCCCGACGAAGAAGCTGAAAGTGGTCCATAAAACAAACTTCAGCAATGGCCACTTCCATGAGCCCCGCAGGAGGAATTGCTAAAGTAGGCATGAGAAGCGGTTCAAATTCCTCATTTGAACTTGAAGCTTGAACTGGGAGAAGCTAGGAAATCAAAACATGAAGGAGAAAAGAATGCTTCAGTGAACAAAATAAGAGGAAAATAGAATTCGGCACGTTGGTGCTAAGATTAGTGAGTAAGAAATAGTGTTTTGGATAGAGTCTAAAACTGTAGATAGATAGGCGCTGTTCTGAGAGGGAAAAGATAAGCAGCGTGATTACTTGCAATACGCAAATGGGTTGCTTGGCGCCTTCTGTGGCAGGCGTCCCAGGAGAAAGTATGAGCCTTTCCATTCATCAGGTTTTAACAAGTATACGAGTTGTTTACAATAACTTGACAACTGTATAATTTTATAAAATAAAACTTTTTTTTTACCTCAATATAACTTATTGGTTAAACTGTATAGTCATCATATGATTTAGTAAAGGTTCATATACATGTTATGTTTTAGTTTTAAAATTTAATAGCCAAAATATGAAGAGTTATTCATTTAATTTTGTGTTAAATATTGGTAAGTGAATACTGTATTCCTAATATTTCTTCATGAAAACAATATCATTGGATCTTAATTAGAGTAAGTTTTATTGTAAAGTAGTCATGGTTCTTTATTTTTTGGAGCAAAAGGTAGCCATGGTTTTTTTGTTTTGACAAAAGTGGTCATAGTTTTATTAGTGGAAGGTGAACAAATAAAAAGGAAAATGAAAAAAACAAGTTAAAAATTGCAATATTTCAGTCAAGGTATCTACGACTCAAATCCTAGAAAAGGAAGTAATACCTAACTGGGTATTTTGGAAATATAGTTAAATGATAAAAATACCCCTGTATCAAAAGGTTTATTAACAAATTATGAACTGACGATAATACATATTAAGAAACATACTAGTAATAGCAAATTTGATAGCTTTTTTTTTTTAAAATTTGACATAATGGTATTTTAGTTATTTGACTATATTTGTAAAATATCAAATCAACACCATTTCCTCCTCTTAGATTTTAAACTCTTAGCTGCTGGCATTAGAATATTACAATTTCTAATTTCTATTTATGTCATTTTTTCTATAAAAAAAATATTTGGTCAAAAGAAGGCTAAATTAAACTTTAAAATTATCAAAACGAAATCATCAACTAATTTTGAGCTTTAATATAATTACCATAGAGAAGAGCTATAGAATAAAAATTTTAAAAATACAAGATTAAATTTATGAGACTTCTACTGAATACTGATAATGTCCAATATAAGGCTATAGACAATTTTGCAAATTATACCAACACCCTTATAGCAGTGAGGAGTGGGACCTTGCAAATTGAGGATGCGTCATAAAGGACTGACAAGAAACATCTGCTTTTATCAATGATATTGTAGTCTAATAACACTAAAGTTGGTTTTAAATTATTGCCGCTTGTTCCTATAATTTAAAATAAATTGCTGATCATTAAATTGTTTTGAGATCATAACTTATAGGTGGATAATCTTCCTGTCACCTAACAGTTTAGTGGTAATCATACATCTCCCATGATGTCCTTCTGCGAGCTTCAAAACAGTCTTCATATTGAAGAGCTTGACCGCATAATAAGAATGGCCGGTATAAATCATTTTAACTAACCGCGCCTTTCTTAGCCCAGAGAGACTCAAGTCTGGTTTTGAAAGATTTGAAGCCATTTTTGTTTCAACCAAAAAAAACATGACATTCATAATAAAAATATTTACAATTCACAAATACACATTTCTATGTTAGCGGAATTAAAACTAAGAAAATAAGGTTTGGAGATAACAACAATATTAAAAAAGAGAAATTATGGATAAAACACAAGTACCAAATGATGTTGAGGACAAAAAGCCAATAAGAGGAAGCTGAAGAAATCTCTTTTAAACAAAATAAACTTGTACAAAGGGCTTATTTGTAATGATATGTAGGTTGGAATTATAAATCTATAGAAGAGTAGCTTGGAAAGAAGATCTTACAAAAACTTTGTTTTGTCACAAGAATTCTTTGAGGGGCATCCCCTCATAGCAAATAGTACCATGACAATATGTTTTAAAAGCAACACATCCAACTATTTTTGTTAGACTCAGGCGAGAATAATCATGAAGAGGGTACTGTCTAAAACAGTAGGAGGATTTAAAATTATCAAAAGCATAATCTGTAAAAGAAAGAGTGTTTTGATTTCTTGAATCATAGATTCATAGTGATAAGGTAATCGTTTTTCCTTTCACGAAGCAAATTGTAAATTGTTTCTCTTCCTCCAAATGGTATTAAGTATGTTAGTTTATGAATAAGATAATTCAAACATTTCTTATTCAGCTCCAAAAGTGAAGAAATGAACCAAATCCTGAATTTCACATAACAAGAAGCAGAAAATTTTATTGAAAAACATCCCATTTGGATAGTTCTGGAAACAGGCCAATACTCCTTCCCAGAGAATTAACAGTCTCCGCCTTCTTTCATAGTACAATCAAGCTTGTCATTTTCTATTTGCTGAGATTTCTGCGATATTCTAATAATGTAGTTCCCTTATCACCTAGAAGAGGCCAATAAGCTCGAAGCATATGTTTATTACTTGCAGTTCCTTGCTTCCCATGTCTGAACTCTTTTGAACTCGGATTAAGTGGGTGATGGAAACTGCTTAGGCAATAAAAATGTTAAGAGTTGGTCCAATTAGTAATGAGTCGGCTCATAACTCATAAGATCGTGAATTTAAATCCCGTTGCAGATATGAGGACCTTGTTGGTAGGTGATTTGTAAGTATTCTCCGAGCCTGGAGGCATGTTCTAGTCCTGGTGAGTCTTCGGACTCAACTCACTTAAATTTTTTTTGTGGCGGGAAAAAAAAGTGTTGGGCAGTAATGGAGGTCCACTAGGAAAAATGGACCTTTTCAACCCCGAAGCTCATCTTTTGATTTTTAATGGGCTTCATTTTTGTAAATGTGCAACAATATCTGGGAATGGGAAAGGGCCTTCCTCTCAAAAAGGGGTGGAGCTTTCCATGCAAAGAGTCAAATATATCCTCATTCAATGTGTTAAATTTCAAACATGCTCTTTTTCTCATTGATAAAAAAGCGCTCAAAATCCAAGCGAGACAAGATGTCGTTTATTATTACTATTTCCAGTTTAGTTGCATTCGCCTTCTGTCCTAAAGTTGTTAAAAATTTATTATACTGATATTTCTTTTAACAAAAAAATGTTATAATTACACAAATTTTTGATAAACTGTTTTATGCTTATCACTTATGTAATAAAAGAAATATTTCATATCTATTTGACTAATATATTTTTTTACTATTAAATAGTATATTTTAATAATTTTATTTTTAAAGATCAATTGTACTCGTTTCGTACTGCCTTTAATAATATGGGCCTGTTTGGGTAACCCTCAAAACCATGGTTTGGGAGGCAAAACCATGGTTTTGATGAGATGTCATCCAAACAGCATCAATTTTTGGTCAATAATCTGAAACTATGGTTTTGGAATCCAAAACCATGGTTTCAAGAGAAGTGAATTCATTCTGCTTTTGACTCAAATTGGAGAGATGATTGTGTCTGTCAAAGTAGATCTCAATAATAATATGACTTTAATATTTCTCAATTATTTTTTATAAACATATTTAACATTATATCTTATAAACATATATACACATATTAATTATTTATTAATTACATTATCTTATGTATTATTAATTATGTTAGTAAAAAATATATTATTAACAATTTTATTCTTTCAAATTAAAATATATCATAAAATTTATCTTTTATATAATTATCATATTAACTTATGTTTTTTTTAGTAATTTGTATATATAAAAAATACTTCTAATAACAACTATCTAAACACTCTTAATTCTCAGAATTACTTTTTTACAAAATCTATTCTTCACAGAATCTATTCTTTTCAAAATCTATTCTTCAAAAATTATTCTCCAAACCATGGTTTGATTTCATCCAAACACACCCATTAACATGCTTGTTCAATTTTTTCATCAGGTAAGATTGAGGGTATTTATGTCTTTTTGGCACTTTTCCTCTTCCTTCCCCCCCCCCCCCCGGGGAGGGGATAAGACCCTTTCCTTGATTCCTCGCTGTCCTTTTCTTTTCAGCCGCCTTGTCACAGTGCGGCAGCGGCAGTCTCTCTCACTACTCGACTTGGGTTCTCCCTCTTCTCAGCTCAGCAGCCTTACCAACATCGTGAGTGTGACACAGCATAGAAGTTCCCTCGCCTCCCACTCTTTCTCTCCTGCTTAGAAGTTCTCTCGGCTCTCTCGCATATCTCAGCAGTCAGGATCAGCTGATCTCTAGCTTCGTTCTTTTCGTACTCATTGTTGTAAGTGGTGATTTCTTCGTTTAATACTTTTTAAACGTCAGCATTTGTGGATATTTCTTTGGCAAGTGATACAAGGTTAGTCAAGTAATGCCGGTGGTTGCCTTTGTCACAGAAAGGCCCAGTTGAAAGCAGGAACTTGATTCTGCGGTAATGGCTCAGTTGAAAGCAGTTTCTCCTCATTCATGCTCCGGTCTCTCCTCTTTGGGACATGGAACAGGTGCGTTTGGTTAAGTTTTATGTTGTCTTTTTTTCTCTCCTTTGAAATTTTGGCTGCATGTTTTAATTTCTTCTTTCCCATGTTATATCTTCCGTTTGAAAATTGTGGGGTCTTCTTGTTTTTACTTCCTTGTCGCTGGAAATCCAGAATCCACAAGTTTTTGCTTGCGGCTAAACGATCTTTTTCAATGGGCTGTGGAAATTTTTTTTTTTTTTGGGAAGAAATTATATTCCACTTCTATGCGCTATTGAAGTTTGATGGTTCATATATGGTGGAAATTTGAGAGCTTTAAGTAAAATGGTTTAGTTACGCGAATTGTGGTTGCTCTTGGCGATTTCCTAATTGCTTGCAATTAATTTAATTCATAGGGCATTTACTGCTTCCCCGAACATGGAACGCGAAGCCATCATCATACAGAGAGGTGGGCTGAAAGCTTTCTCCTTCAATTTTTATACAATTTTCTTGTCTGAACCTATCTCTATGTTTTGGCGTGTGTATTGATGGTCTTATTTTGGACTTCTAAATATAGATGAGGCCACCAAGAACAAGCATTGGTATCACCAAACTCCCGGGTGAGGTTTATTGCTCTTCCACTCATTGTAACTGTAAAGATTCCTGTGTTGACTTAAGTTTATAAATTCTTCATCAAGTATTATCCCTTTATTAATCTTTTATCTTGG